TTCATGTCTCTTCTACATCAGCATGTGTCCCCTCTTCTTCATGTCTCTTCTACATCAACATGTGTCCCCTCTTCTTCATGTCTCTTCTACATCAACATGTGTCCCCTCTTCTTCATGTCTCTTCTACATCAACATGTGTCCCCTCTTCTTCATGTCTCTTCTACATCAGCATGTGTCCCCTCTTCTTCATGTCTCTTCTACATCAACATGTGTCCCCTCTTCTTCATGTCTCTTCTACATCAACATGTGTCCCCTCTTCTTCATGTCTCTTCTACATCAACATGTGTCCCCTCTTCTTCATGTCTCTTCTACATCAACATGTGTCCCCTCTTCTTCATGTCTCTTCTACATCAACATGTGTCCCCTCTTCTTCATGTCTCTTCTACATCAACATGTGTCCCCTCTTCTTCATGTCTCTTCTACATCAACATGTGTCCCCTCTTCTTCATGTCTCTTCTACATCAACATGTGTCCCCTCTTCTTCATGTCTCTTCTACATCAACAATGTGTCCCCTCTTCTTCATGTCTCTTCTACATCAACATGTGTCCCCTCTTCTTCATGTCTCTTCTACATCAACGTGTGTCCCCTCTTCTTCATGTCTCTTCTACATCAACATGTGTCCCCTCTTCTTCATGTCTCCTCTACATCAACATGTCCCCTCTTCTTCATGTCTCTTCTACATCAACATGTGTCCCCTCTTCTTCATGTCTCCTCTACATCAACATGTCCCCTCTTCTTCATGTCTCTTCTACATCAACATGTGTCCCCTCTTCTTCATGTCTCTTCTACATCAACATGTGTCCTCTCTTCTTCATGTCTCCTCTACATCAACATGTCCCCTCTTCTTCATGTCTCTTCTACATCAACATGTGTCCCCTCTTCTTCATGTCTCTTCTACATCAACATGTGTCCCCTCTTCTTCATGTCTCTTCTACATCAACAATGTGTCCCCTCTTCTTCATGTCTCTTCTACATCAACGTGTGTCCCCTCTTCTTCATGTCTCTTCTACATCAACATGTGTCCCCTCTTCTTCATGTCTCTTCTACATCAACATGTGTCCCCTCTTCTTCATGTCTCCTCTACATCAACATGTCCCCTCTTCTTCATGTCTCTTCTACATCAACATGTGTCCCCTCTTCTTCATGTCTCTTCTACATCAACATGTGTCCCCTCTGTGGAAAGAGACTCTGAAAGTTTCAGGAACAAAGATTCTCTCTCTTTTTGATCCATTTCTATAAAAACCTGTCTGAAAATGAGCTGATCAGATTTTGGCCACTTTGTGATGTCATAACGATGTTTTGTCTTGTGTAACCATTAACCAATCAGCAACCAAGGTACCCCCCTCCCCCCCCCCCCCCCCCCCCCCCCCCTTATCACCTGAATCTCCTCTAGAGCACCATTGTGTTCTTTGTAACCAAATCTCTCTCAGAGGGGCGTGGGGAGGGGCTCCTTGTTTTCATCTAAAGTAACAGACAGAGAATCAGCACTTTGGAAACAGAGGGGATTATGGGTAATGCTGCAATGATCTGTTTGGTGTTTGGAGCCAAACACTTCAGAGACATGTTTTGTATATATCTGACACCTATAACAAGAGGTGCAGCGAGAGGAGATTGCATTATTCCACTCAGAAAAAGTTCTTTCAGTCAGTCTTCATTTTCTGTTAAAGCTGCTCAGCAATGGAACTCAATCCCACCTCCAATCAGAGACCAGACCACATTCACTTTATTTAAATCCCAACTCAAAACCTGGTTAGTGAGGAATCAGCTCTGCCAACACTGACCCAATCTTCTGCTCCTTCCAATCCACCGCCTGTGTTTTAACATGTTCTTTTGTTTTATTTGTTTTGTTTTAATGTTCTGTATTCTAAATTGTTTTATTTAAGTATCCCAGTAATGACTGTTGCATGTTTTAAATGTATTGTATTTACTTGTTTAAAATTAAATGTGTTTTAGGTTGACTTTTAAAATCTGTCCAGGGACTACAGATGAAAAATAGCCTCTTGGCTAACTCTGGCACGTTTACAGAAATGTTCATTAATGTGCACTGTTAAATAAAAAAATAAATAAAAAAAGTATATTGATGAAAAACAATGTAATAGGGGAGCTTTAAAGTACTGTAAATCCATCAAAAAAAGTTAGTCACAGTAGGGTAGCAACAAATCTCGCAGACTGATTTAACAACAGCTCAAGATGATTCAAAGATTGTTGTTGTTTCTATGCTTTAATTAGACTTCCCCTCATGTATCTGACATCGCAATCTCATCTCCTTGTTTTTGCTTTTTGCTTATCACACATCCTCCTCCTGTAGAGTTTTGACGGGCAGAGCAGAAACCAAGGCTGTGGGTTTGATTACCAGCGGGACCACCTATGTTTAAAATGCAACCGCTCACACAGCAGCGTGCGTTGAAGCTTCCAACGCTTCTGCCCATTCACTTTGAATGGGGTGACGTCACTTTTAGCCGAACTGCATTTTGGGAAGCGACGTGGAGCGTAGCTGGCGTCAAAAGTTGAGCAATGTTCAACTTTTGACGCCTCGACGGAGGCGTCATCCAATGAAATCCCGTTTATTCAAATCTGCCAGTACAATCGCTAGCCAATCAAACCGCGTGTATGCTGGGAGAGACTACGCAGGTCATTTCCTCATATTCAAAAAAATTGAGGGAAAATTCATTGTAGCGGTAGTGAATCACCCGGTGCTGTATGATCAGTCTCTGTTCATCTACCGGGATACAAACCGGAGGAGCGAGGCATGGAGGGAGGAGGCAGAGACAGTGGGTGAAACTGGTAGGTTTTCGCCTGTTTGGGGATTTTATATCCAGTTTACTTCGTTTTAACATTGCTATTGCTTTGTATGTCGGGGGCGGGAGATTCATGTGATTGGTTGTTGGTCGTGTTGCTCGCAAAAAATCCCCGAGCTTCAGATACGCCCACCTCCAAGCGTCAACGCACGCTGCTGTGTGGACGCTCCGTCACAGCACCGTGTAAAATAAGACATCCACAAATCGGACTACACTGTGTTAAAAGAATAAACTGCGGAGCGTTTCCCTGCCAAGACAACACAAGAGGAAATGTACTCAGCCGTAACAACCTCAATGCAAGGTCAGGCTCCAGGGCTTTATTTGAATACCTCTGGCATCGTGCTCAAGTGCCTTTAGATGGATGTGTAGTGGCTCTCCAGAATATTTAAATTGTTGATGCTTAGAGTGCAATCACTTTTACGAATGTTATGATGACCCCTCGTAATTGCACGCTACAAGAAGTCAATGTTTGGAGAGAAAATACGCTGCGAACTCTGTGGCCATGCTAATGAAATAGAGGACTTGTTTGTCTCACAGTGTGTGTGTTTTGGCGTGTGTTAGGGTGTAGTAAGTGAACGCATGTCATAATATGGGGGAAATTGATGAGAGAAATGTGTGTGACCTGAAAAAGGAGTAGTGTGTTGATTTGCACACACTGTTTTCTGCGATTGTGTGTGTAAAGGTGGGGTAGGTAATTCACTTCAGAAACACTTTTTGTTATATACCATGGAATGCTCTTAACATCCCGATAGCAATGAATACATTAAATGCTTTGACAACAAATACATTTAAAACATGTCATCTGTGGAAGCCGTGGCTGTAAAAAGCACGACCAATCATCTGAGCCGGCTAAAGTAACTGGATGGCCTACCTGCCTGTCAGCCTTACATCTCGTGCACACACTTATCTCGTGACCTCATTGGTCATGTGCGCGTTCGTGTGTGTTGGAGGAGGGGCTCTGTGAGGAAGTCTGAAGGAAGGGGCAGATTTTTTTTTCGTACTTTCAAATTCTAGCACACTCGAGCTGGTTTCTCCATTCTTACCTACCCTACCTTTAAGTCTCTTATGTGGTATTTCCTTGTTTCATTTATCCTTGCATGGTTTAATTACTGGAGTGTTGTTTCCTTACTGGTGTGTAAAGGTGAATCACAAGTCTCTTTTTGATAATTCCTTGTTCACTGTCTGCTCGAATGGTTTCCTTATTTGTGTGGATAGGTGCATTACAAGACTCCTTAATATTTCCTTTTTCCCTCTCTCCTTGTTCCTTACAGGTGTGTAAAAGGTGTGGCCCAAGTCTCTTATTTGATAATTCCTTGTTTCCTCCACCTGCATGATTTCTTACTTGTGTGTAAGGGTGCAAGTCTTTTTTTAGATTCCCTTGTTTAATTTCTCCTTGCATGGTTTCCTAACTGATGACAAGTCCAATTCTTTATATTTCCTTGTATCTTGTCTCCTTGCATGGTTTCCTAACTGATGACAAGTCCAATTCTTTATATTTCCTTGTATCTTGTCTCCTTGCATGGTTTCCTAACTGATGACAAGTCCAATTCTTTATATTTCCTTGTTACCTCTTTCCTTGCATGGATGTGTAAATGTACATCAAAAGTGTCTTAATAGATATTTCCTTGTATCTTGTCTCCTTGCATGGTTTCCTTACTGGTACGTAAAGGTGCATCACATATCTTTTTTTAATATTTCCTTGTTTCATTCTGGTCTTGCATGGTTTCCTTCCTGGAAAAGATGCAAAAGAGGGAAACGTATGTTCATTTGAAGTGGTTTGGGATGCACCCTGTGTTGTGCGTGTGAGTGCTTCCCCTGTAATGATAGCTCTGTCCCTCACCAGGATCTCCTCTTAACCTCACAGTCTTTACCCAGAGAGGATGGCCTCCAGCTGGAGAGCCACAAGCAGCATTCATAATTAATGCATGGAAACAAACACGTACAACTTGTGTTCATATCAAGCAAGCTTCCACATGTACAGAGAGTCAGAACAGATGCAGACAGTATGTTTTGCATCAGACTTTCACATCTGCAGAGGAGTTGATGTGATTTAGCAGGATGTTAGCTCCATCTAGAGGTCAGTTTTGGAAAATAACTCATTTCAGAAACCCCTGTATGTGGTTACTATTCCTAACAATGTTCAAGGATATTATTATGTCTTCATTTTCATTATAATAACATGAAAAAGGACAAGACAAAAATCTATCAAACTATAATTTATTGTTTGTTTCTTCATATGTGAATTATTGTCACATCCTGTAACAGTTGAAGACAAATCAAAATGTAGAGCTAATTAAATCCAATAAATATTGACTTTAAGGTGAGATTTTAAAAGTAAAATGCACAAACAAAAAATCTGTTCAAGTCTTAAAGTGCATAAAATAAAAAAAGTACATAATGTTGCAGACAGTTCACAGTTTCTTTGCTAAAAAACAGATACCCCAAACTGACTAGAAATGTGGACTTGTTCAGTGCATAGATAGTCTGGCTACATTAAAGGTGAAATAGAGTCAATAGTACCAGCAATATAAAGCAGATTCTGCAACAGAAAAGTATATTCTTGCTAAAAATTATCTACTGATAAAATCATGGAGTTAAATGTATTTAAATATGAGGTAACATTTGAGTTGTTAAGGAGTATTTTCAGAGGTCACAGGTTGGTCAAAGATCCTTCAGTGGACAGGACGTCCCTCTCGGGTTTTATCCCGTCCACGTCACACACTGACTGATCCTGGAGCAGCAGCTGGAGAGACACCCACACCTCGCTCTTTACTGCTTGTCCTTACCTGGAACAGAGATAAAAGAGAAATTAACTTAGTCACTGGAAGTCAGAAATATGTTGATTCACAATTACACAACAGCTAAAAACCCAAGTAAATATCTACATTATTATATTAAGGCGTATTGTTGATATCCAGGTGATGCTAAGAGAGACACAGCACTGTGCCAGTAAGAAAGAAGCAATGCAAGTTTGAAAGTATTTTATAAGAAAGCCACATTATTCAAATGTTCAGGGACAAGCTGTGCTCGTGAGAAAATGTCAGTTTAACCAAATCACACAAAAACATTTTTTCCACACATTCTCAGTCATAATTAGTCACGTACATACTGGCTGTTTGCTTTTAGGTCTCTCTTGTTGCAAAGCTCAATGAATGCAGATAAATCACTCATCATCACTCGTGCTTGGAACAGAAAGAATGAAGGGTTTTCATTATTTTTAACTCTAGGCTAAAAATACAGCCTCACTCATATCTGTGATCATCTTACTTTTGTTCGGGACAAACTTGAGCGAGGTACTGAATATTCAAAATCGTGAAACTCCTTCCTCCGGGCCGTCATTTACAAACTCATGGCCCAGCCCGTTGCCACACTTGCCACACAGAACCTATGAGATAAAACACACATGTTGACATTTAGACAACTGGATTACATGTTTGGGGTATTTCATTGGGTATGTTTAAGCATGCATTATCATCTCACCATCAGCTGGTCTGCTTTTGTTATTGATGGCACTGATCTATTAGACACTACTGTCTATCAAATTGTAATGATTGTAACGATTGTATGTATTACTTCATGAATTTCACTTAACAGACTGTACGTGGTTTGTCCTGCTTGTTTGTCATGCTTTGCTTTCTGTTATTTTGTCCATGTGTGTCTGTAAAACGTTGCTTTTGTCGGGACCCCCATGAAAACGAAATGGTGCATCTCAAGGGGTTTATCCTAATAAATAAATGTCTATATATTTGATCTGTGTGCATGGTGCAGTAAAACAGAACGGGTGGAGGAGAATCTGACCTTGAAGGCAGTGAGGCTCTCCATCATCTTGGTGACGCTGTCCTCTCGGATGGTGTCGGTGAACGCCGGCCACGGAGACGAGTGGGCGAACTTTGATCGACTGGAGAACAGCGGGTGGTTACACTGGGAGCACACATACATCCCTGCAGGAACAGATTCTTATTCAAGATATTGTTTCATTTTCTACCTGAGACACTTCATGTAATCTGTGTGCCTGACCGGGGGCATGTGTAGCATATGAAGAATTTGTGTTAAAGCATAAGACCATTCATTTTATTATATCAGGCTTTTAATTTATAGCCATGGCTTAAAAATTGTAGTTATAATTATGACATGTTTCCTTGCGTATACAGAAAATAAACATTAAGTAAACAAACGTTCATATGGAGGTTTGTGATCAAAACTAAAGATGCTTAAACATATCTCTGAAAGTGGAAAATAAGGAGTGAGGACTTGAGAGCACTTTAAAATATATATATATCACTATTTATTTGAAAACTTACTTGCAAGTTATATTAATGCTTTGTTTAAACCATAATAATGAATAGCAGCTGCTGTGTTATTATAACTATTAGTAGTAGTAGTAGTAGTAGTAGTAGTAGTTGTTGTAGTAGTAGTAGTAGCAGTCATAGTAGAAACTGCAGATACATATTTCAAATAATAATGAATAAATATCCCCAATTGTTGACACACTTCCAATCCACTCAACACTCTGACATTACACAATAATCCAATTATATTTTTCCATCAAAATGAGTTAATTTGAAACCAAAAATAGTCTAAACATGAGCTTTAAATGTAAGTGTTATCCTGTATAATCCAGACTGAAGGAGGTTACATCACATCACTGTTACAGCCTGCTCACCTAGTTTGAAATGATCCTTGTAGACCTCACCTCCGAAAAAATTGCAGAAAGACATGCTGTGTGAGTGTGTGAGTGTGTGTGCACGGATCAGCATAAAGCGAAATAAATCTCAGTTTAGTATTTCTTCCAGCCTCAGTGACAGACGACCGGAAGCTCTCCCGTGTTTCTTCCTCACGTGTGAAGAAGACAGATCCCGGCTGCAGATTTAACGAGAGCTCCGCCCCATACAGTTCCCTCCTCCACCACCAGGGGGCGGTGTTGCGTTGAAGGCATGTAGGCATTTCACCGGCTCTAAGCCATGGATGAGCTCTAAGCACACTGACAGGCATGGCCGTATCCACCATTGAGGTCACCGAGGTCCGGACCTCGGTAATTTTTTTCGAGCTGTGTATATAACTAAACATGTGAAATAATTGCACTAAAAGGGGTTCTTTGTAGTACTTCCATTTACTGACGATGGGGGCGCTGCATAACTACGTAGCCTCGGTTAAAGCAAACAGAAGAAGACGACATGTATATCAACAAACCACCGCAGCTCGGACTATCTCGAGATCTGAGTCCAGCGGGCTGCTTGTGTTTCTGTTCAACATAACTTTTTTGCCCTGGTTCTCAAAGGAGCACCTGGAGATGTTGCTTGGTGCTCATCCTTAAAGTGAAATAAACTGTAACTTTTGAGGGGGTCTGGACTTTATTTGCCAGACACACGGCACTAAACACACACACTGAGGTGAACACAGAACACACATGCAGAGGTGAACACAAGACAACATTATCACGACCAGTAATCCTACAAGCTGTCATCACTACCCTCCTGACTGTTCTCCTCTCTGTCTTCCTCTCTGTCAGACATGGTAGCTGATGATGTAGGCCTACTTCTTTCTCTCTGGTTGAGTCTGTGATTAGCTGCTTGCATCCACAAGTCAATAGCTGGGTTTGGGTCGAAAGTCTCTGTTGTCATCTTAGACAAGTGGATGTAATCAAATAAGTATGTGAACATAACCAATAACCTACCATAGCCAATAACAAATTAATGTAACTTATTTTATTTGTGTTGTTCATTCATATCTTATTTTACCTTAACATTTATTTATTTATGCATTTTTTTTTATCTCCAGTTTTAAAGGATATTTGTGGTTACTGTCCTATAGTATACATTGGAATGATTTCAAACCTGTTTATCCCAATAATTATAAAGGAGTGCCTTGGAAATATGTGTTTACATAAATTGTGACCAAACCGTTTGAACTTAGACTAAAGTGAACTATCTAAACACTCAGAGTCCTTACCTCACTGAGCTGTAGTATCAGCCTCTCAGTCTGACTGGAGAGGACTCTCCCTCCACATCATTGTAGAAACATCTTCTTCTTATATCCGTTAGAGCAGCTAGCACGGCACCAGATTCTAATAACAACAGCGCTGGTACCACCCTCCCTCTCTCACTCGCATTTTGGCTGTGAGCTGCGGGCGCCAGATAAGCCAACATCCCCCATTTTCATCACTTACAGCGCCCATCGTACATGGCAAATGAAACGTGTAACCGGGGTGAAAAGGGTGTTACATTTACTTAATTATGAATATTGTTACATCAAGGCCGAAAATTAGTATGAGCCCCAACGGTCAAAATGTATTTTTCCCTCCCAGAGCTGCCAGCGCAGCGCCTCCCCAGGTCTGGCGCCCTAGGCGAACATCTAGCCAGCGCTACGGGCCGGCCCTGAGTTCATATCATGGTTCATATGCAACTCGCAAATATCTTTCTCTCTCTCTCTCTTCTCTCTCTCTCATCTATCCTCTATTTTCTCTTTTCTCTTTTCCCTTCTCTCTCTCCCTCTCTCTCTCTCTCTCTCTCAATGTTGGTACGCAAATGCGCTTTGTTTCAAATGACCCGGTACTCTTTTTTTGGCGGAGGTGCGCATGCGCACCTGCGCACCAGTTATGTGCAGCCCTGATCGGGACATCATATGACCAGCAGATCCTGTGTGAACGCTCTACGTTAGTCAGTGGACGTCCGACAACATGCACACTAACTTATATTGCAGCTTTAGGCTATACTTTGGTTTAAATAGCGTGAATAAACTAGCTAGAGAGCTAAAGTTAATTACATTCATCCAATGTCAGAAGAAGGATTACCTTTTAACAAACATTGTAATGCTTTTCTTTCATTTCAATTTGAATAAAAACATTGGAGATGTAACATTGTATTGTTTTCTTTTTACACTGACTCAGATATAATGAAAATACTACGTCAGTCGAAGCTCAGCTTTGGTGAGAGAGAGAGAGAGAGAGAGAGAGAGAGAGAGAGAGAGAGAGAGAGAGAGAGAGAGAGAGAGAGAGAGAGCGAGAGAGAGAGAGAGAGAGAGAGAGAGAGAGAGAGAGAGAGAGAGAGAGAGAGAGAGAGAGAGAGAGAGAGAGTGGAGGTCAGGGAGGAACTGCAGGTACAGTCACACAAAAGAATGTAGGCTTAATAACCCCATCTATACATCTATCTATCTATACATCTGTAACAATAGTCTTCATTTACAATATAGACAATAGGCATAATTGTAAAACAACATACATATATTGCAGTTATGATGTCATAATAACATACAATTGTATAAAACACAATCTGCTTACATCTTTGTTCTCTTTTGAGTATCAAACAAAACAGATTTTTAAAAAAAAGAATGCAAACAATTAGTGAAATGAACTAAATGGCTGAATTGCTTTTGATTCACTGGCAGGAGCGACAAGTGAGGAGGAGCAACAAGTGAACAACGAGGGAGAGATTGAACAAAGAGAAAGAGTAGAGGACAGAGAGAGTAATGAACAGGAAGAAGACAGAGAGACTAAAGAAGATGGAAGAGAGGGGGCAGGTTATGGAAAGGAGAGAGACATGGAAAATGAATGTTGACAATGTGTTGTGATCATTTTAGCCTCTTCTGCATGTCCAGATCATTAATAGTAACAATCAACTGATTCTTATGTCTTACACTTTCAAAAATAATTTATGCTGCAGCCCACTGACATGGTTAGAAATCAATATATTATCCAATGTGTGACCCTCCACAGGACTTAAAAAGCACCTAACTAGATCATGAAAATCCCCCAAATCTCGGGGGGTATCCCCCGAACCCCCCTAACATATTTGGACCTCGGTATTTAGGAAATCCTGGATACGGCCCTGCTGACAGGTGAGTGTCATAGACTGTATTATGGTGAGTGTACCCTGAAACAGATTTACTATGGCTGAATTACCTCAGTCACTGAAGCAACAGAGAAGTTTAACAAAACAAATCAAAAAGAGTGTGGAAAATATAAAGAAATGTTGAAGAATTACTAAATGATGGATGGATTACTGAAATTAGTCCATGGTCCAGACCATATGTATAAAAGTTAATATTTGTTTTCACATTTGTAGAAAATCTTTATAACTTTTCGACATCAACCATAATCTAATCTCTAAAAATGTGTACTTGCTTTTTGACACACCATTTTGTAACCAAAACAACAGTAGACATAGATAGATCACAAAGAAGAAGAAAAAACACCTTGGACTATAGCGAGGCCACATTTTGAACTATTAACTATTCTTAAATCTCAATCCGAGTAGACAATACATTTTAGGGTTGATTATATTCAAATCAACATCACTTTTTCTCCTTATCATGTAACTTTAAACAAAATGCTTTTTCAGAATATGAACCGTTTGATCTGTAACAAAGAAAGTAGCCGACTCAGACAGACAGCCTAGCAAAAACTGTGAGTTTATTAGTTAACAGTTCATGAAACCGAGCAAAATCACTGTCTGGCAGGTATTAATAATTTTCTAGGTAGAAAGTGTGAAAGATTTCTGAGGTGATATTTTTGTCCATTTCAGGTGAGTCTCCTTCATTCATACTTGCAGTAGTGCTTCATGGCCTCTGGCAGCTCCAGCCAGTCGATGGCCATCCGGTGGACGATGTGCTTCTGGATGGCCTTTCTGCACAACGTCTGCAACGATGAGACTGGAGCAACCGAGAGAGAAACAAAAAAACACGAAAAGACAGTGGATTAGCAGAATAAAAGTAAAGAAGAATGAAGAATTTAAGCATGGATTCATTACTGAAATGGGTCCCTAGGCGAGAGTCAAATAAAACAACCACAACGAGACGCAAAACCAACACAAAAACGACCAACAAAATTGTGCAAAACTCCTACAAACTGACAGTTACCAAACAATTAAGACACAAAGCAAGAAGAGAAAGGGAAAAAATTACGACAAAGAGATTTAAAATGACCATATACACACAAAGCAATGAGAAAGAGACTCCAAACGACTCCGAATAGATGCAGTGCAACTTCAAATGGACCCAAAGTAACGTCAAATAAACACAAAAAGGCCACAAAGAAATGCAAATGAACTACAAAATGACACACAGTGATCACAATGAGACACAACACAACTACAAAGAGATGTAAAGAAACTAAAGAGACACAAAAAGACTGCAAAGAGTCACACAGTGTCCAGGATGAGACACAAAGCGACTTAAAGAAGACCAGAGAGACTAACAATGATGCAAAAAGACTTAAAATACATGCAGGGCATCTACAAAGAGACGAAAGACAATCACATTGACATTTGAGATGCAACGCAGCTTCAAAGAGACTCAAACCGACCACAATAAGTACAAAAAACATCCCTGAGCCCTTTTTCTGTCTCTGAGACACATTACCATGTAAACCATGGTTCCACTGTGACACTCACATCCATACTCCACCTGGACGATTCGGACACACTTGGTAGCAGCGAACACGTCCACAACAGCGTGGAGCGGCTGGATGGAGGGGATCCCCTTAGCAGAAGCTCCCATGTCCTCCCCATTGATCACAACGTGCATATCAGCCAGGCCTGGTCCTCTCTGCGTGTATAGCACTCCTATCCGGCTGCGTCTGGCTGTGGGGGGAAGAGCGTTCGTCCTATACAAGTCGTCTAAAATGTGACTGTAGCGTCCAGGCCTGCTCCGTCCCACCAGCTTGTCTCTGGGGATCCGAACATTGTCAATGTACAAGTGAGAGTCCGTGAAGAAGGTCTGTGGTTTCAGGTTGTGATATCCTTCAGCTGCTTCTTCTCCAGGCTCTCCACGACCGAGCCTTTGACCTCCATCTCCAGGATCTTCTACCACTTTGTTGTGGTTTCGAGTGATGGCGAACACCCAGCTGTCCCCCGAATCAGTCAGGTCTGGGATGGAGTATTCAGGCACCACGTCTAAGTGTCCAGGGTCTCTAGAAGTCAAGCCGACTCGTAGGTTGCCACACCAGCCCACCTCCTTTTCCTCGATCTCTATGAGGAAAATCTCCCCGGGCTTTAGAGGGTGTTTGCTGAAACACACTCCATTTGCAAAGCTCTCCACGCGAGTAGCCCGTGTTCCCGAGAGGTCCAGACTCACGTTCAGACCGTGGATCGGGTGGAACTCCATGAACTGGTCGGGAATGGCCTCCATTGTTTTGTTGAATAGCTTCTAAAAAAAACACAACAAATGGAGACTTTCCAATCAAAAAGTCTTGCAGAGGTTTCGGACTAATGCCGGCCAACACATGGTCTTCATAGAAACACAACAATGTGCACACACACACGCACACACACACGATACAATCTGTGCTTATCTGTGGGCCACTCAGGGTAGCTTCTAGAGGGCTATTTTTGAACAGCTGCATGTCAACAGATGGCAAGGTATGTGTGTGTTGAAGGGGGGTGGCCAACATGCACATGCCCAGTCACTCACACCAGACATGCACAAAGACTGAGGTGAGTGGGATTATATCATAATAATAATAATAATTTGTATAGCACTTTTCATACATCAGGGGCCTATACTACGAAGCTGGTTCAACCTAACCTGGATATGTTTGAGTTAGCCGGTTGGCCTAATCCAAAACATACGCGCTCTCGCTAAACTGTACTACGACGCGGGTTATCAAGTGGATCGCTTAAGCCAGCCGTGTCCTATCTAGTTAGGTGTTCACATGAGAGGGGTGGTATTTGGAGCATTCGACCAATCACAAACATGGAGAAGCGTACTGACAGCGCAGCGTCATACTTCCTGAATGAAAAGTGAACTTTAATACTAGTCAAAAATGAAGAAGTTAAACTTTAAACATCCATGACTTAAACACTTTATCCAGGATAAAAGCCACATAGCTGCACCTGCAAAGTGAATACAGCTGGCAAAAGAAAAAGTGTTTGAATGCGTACATTAACAGGTTTATGATATCACTGCCCCGTCTAAAACACGACTTGACTTTAATTACATTTGTCTCGAGTGTTTCGTCAACTTAATGTGTTGCTTAAAATAATACTTCTGCATACAGTATGTGACACTGTGAGTGTTGCACGGCCAGATACGGCTCAGCTGACTCAGATAAGAAAATATATGATACATTATGAAGTGATATGCACTGTACTTAATGTTACTCTGATCCGGTTACTTATGTTGTGGCAGATATTTAAGTAAGCTTTCTTAACGCTAATGTTATAATAGTCAGATTGCTCTGAAGATGGGAGGTGATATTCTATTAATGTTCACGTTCACACAGTCGGTGATTTTTGCCGGCCGTCTTTCCTGCGACGGCAGCTTTTCGGTATTTCCTTTCTCCTGTAATATGACTTGATCGTTTTAAACTCCGCACACTGAGCTCTGATTGGTCAGCAGGCGGTGCTTTCACTGAGTTGAGCTCTTAGCCTGCAACCTAACCTGGTCCCGACCAGGTTAGCCGCTAAGCATAAGTTACCATGGAGATCTAGCCTGCTAAAAAGAGAACCAGCTTCGTAGGACCGGAAAGCCGGAGTTTTCCCTGAATTTAGCAGGCTAAGCGAAAATCCTGCTTCGTAGTATACCCCCCAGGTGCAGCTCAAAGTAACAACAACATATGTTACAATTCAAAGGGAAAGGAGGAGGTATAAGGTAATAAAAAGAAAATGCCATAAAATAAATAATGATCCCTCTGGGTAAAATAAAGGAATACTTAAGACAAAATGAATAAATACAATAAAATAAAAAGACCTATAAAATAAAATAAAAACTATTAAAAGAATAACAATAAAATATGAATAAATTATAATAATCATAAAGATTAAATTACCAATTTAAAAGAGGAGGACGCTATAAAACTATAAAATAACTAATATAAATAAAAACCTATAAAATAAATGAATAATTAAAACAATATAAAAATAAATAAATAATACAAATTAAAATACCAATTAAACAGGATGTCACTAGTAAAAAGCCAATCTAAAAAAATATATAAAAATCCCCCCGGGTCCCGACGTTCATTAATTTCCACCATCCCCATGCCCTGAGGTAACTGCGTAGTTTTCATAATACCATATGCCAGGGAGCACTACATATAGTCGTGCCACGCAAATACAGTCTGGATTTCTTTCTTATGTAAAGCTGCAAGTAAAGTAATATCCCAGGATAGAGAGTGCAGTGGAGATGTATTATGATAATGGAGTTATAGCTCAAGAGTATGAGGAGGAATTATGATTTTAAAAGATAACCCTGAGCAGATATTTTTATACTCATTATATATGAGTGGGAGTAAAGGCTTCTGCACATTGACACTCATTGTTACTGTAGTTCATATTCTTTCAGTCTAAATGTGTTAATTACTTTTATCACGTCATATTAACTATACAGTATGCTAATGGGAAGCTACCCCATGCTTGTTATAGCCCTCATTAGTAATATAAAAATGTGAAGATGAAATCATTTGCTTTGTGAAGATAATGAATGCATGGTTTTGTTGCAGGATGTCACAGAGATCAAGATTTGGTGAGACAACAGTGATACAAAAAAAAACCATCCTTTCCCTTACAAATGAAAAATTGTAAATAAAATACTTCCTACTCACTTTGTGCATTCAGTGGTTTTGCTGCTTACATTGTGCTTTATTTTTCTCATACTGCCTGTGCTGCAGCACCTCTTTTCACCCTCTGTCTGAAACCAGAGCCCAGTCATTACATTACATGTCATTTGTAAAACGCTTTTATCCAACTCAACTTACAATTCAATACTGTGGACAATCCCCACAGGAATAATTTGGGGTGAAGTGTCTTGCCCAGGGACACAACGACATGCTGACTGCAGTGGGACTTGAACTTGCTACCCCCTGATTCCAAGTCCAGCACACTATCCACTGAGCCACAGCCTCCCGAACTGATTGGTTAGCTGGCCGGCTCTGTTCATGGCTGAAATATGTTACAGCATTACTACGTCTAAAGCTGTTCCAATACAAATATTTCGTATGTCAATATTTTAATAGATGTAATATAATGATTGTTACAATACAAATCTGAATAATATCAGGTTTTGTTTGAAATAATTTCATTTTTGAGCAGTCGCATGTTGTGACGTGTGTGTGTGACGTATGAGGTTAAGGACACAAGTTCTCTCGCTTTTTTTTGCATACAAGTGATTCAGCTATTGTATTACAATAATTAGCAGTAATGGCTATGCGGCCATTTTTAAAACGTTTAAGGCGTCTACTTCTGCACTAAGTAGGACACTGGTTCATAATATTGTAGCGTGTTCAAGTAACCAAGGGATATAGTAGTTATCAAATAAGTACAAGATGTGCACAGTTATAAGTTTTACAGATGTAATGCACTGTTGTTGGGGGGAGAGACCGCCCCTTCCATATGAGTGTGTGTGTACGACGGGCATAAGGCGTGCATGACGGGACGAGTTGTGTTCGTATGTGGAAAAGTCATACTCAGTGCGGTGAACGCTGGCTTTATTGCTACTGTATCCGTAGCACCCCACGCAATAGTTGGGACTGTGTACTGACGTCAATAAAAAATGTTTGCCCCCCCAAGCGCAAATGTCAAACTCCGCCTATGCCCTTAGCCTATCACGTTCAATGGGTTGGAGCGTTTTCTGCCTCAGTGTGTCACTCTGCCCAACATAATGCTTCCTCAGGCTGATATCAGTTCCAACATGATGAGCTTTATTTTCATATCTGTGGAGAGCCCAGGGAATCTGCATGTTTGCTGCTGACCTTGAATCTCTAAATTAGCCCTACATGTGTTAAGGTAACAGCATTTGTTTTTATAATGTTGCATGCAATATGAAGCAGAATTAGATTGAAGTGCTGTAGGATTATCAGTAACAATACTTTAAGTGTTGTTCTCCTGGTGTATGAAGTTGTATCTGCTGAATATTTCTGTTTATTTGGACACAGAAGTGCATCTTTGACTGCAGCAATCCAATTTCATTCTGTGACGTGTAGCAGTCTTATGTAGTCACCCAAACTCTGCTGGGTAATATACTCTCTCTGCTTGAGAAACAAAGGAGAAGACTAATGCACTTTTTAATCTGATTCTGTTTTAAACCCTTAAACCCAACAGTCACTAAAGATGTTATGTATTTAGCTGTTCGTGATTTCACTGCTGCCACTGCAAAGGTTTCTTTCCCCCATTTGTTAATAACACATTTTAAATCATAAAACCACGCCTTGTGGGGGGAACAGGACAGGTGCACAGCTGACACCAGGAACATTCAAACTCGACACACAAAAGCCCGCTGGCAGGTTTTCACTCAGAACCTTGTTGTGAGACCACAGTGCTTTACTGCATTTGTTCATAGTTGTTAGTTGTTCAATTATTGTAAAGGTTTTAAATAACATAGACAACTTTTCATGTGCTGAGTTCTTGAAGAAGACAGTATTTGGTTCTCAAAGACCACTGTGGTTTTTCCCTTTTCATTTCGCTGCAAGGTTAGCTCAGGTATAAAGCTTTACCCCGCCCTGCCGCCAGTGGCGCTGTTTGTGTAGAATCAAAGTGAGACTTAAAATCCACGAAGAAGAAGTACTACATATTCTGAGCACGCGCAGTGTCTGGTCTTTCTAGTACAGTACCGCGAGGAGAACATGGTGAGCAGCCTTCACTCGTTCATTCACATCCACTTTTTTAATTTATAACATGAATGCTACACGTACACACACGCTTCTCGGGTAGCCGTTCTTGCGTGTGTTGATTAGCACCCTGCTGAAACCTAATGTTATTTTGTGAAGCCTTGCTACTACCAACCATAGACTTTATGCTACCAACATGCTAAGCTACTAGCAGTTAACACGTGGAAGCATTGCTGAATAGGATTTGCTCATTCGTTAATGCTGGTAACCTATTTAGCCCTTCTGTCGTGTTGACTAAATATTGTGTTTTACATATCCTCCACGGTATGCATTTGAACATAACATTGCTGATCCCCACTTTCAATGAATTGCCAACTTTGTAACGCCTATGTAGTTCCCGGTCTGAAATGGCCGCCATAGAAATTGAAAGAGTAACCCTAGATTATGTTCACCCATCAGAACAAACCGAGAACCATGTTAATTTTGGAATACATTTTCATTGTTCATTCACTGCAGTTATTCCTGTTAACGAGTCGTTTGAGATATTGTTTTCAGCTTAAGGCGAGACACCCCAGGTGAATAGGGTACTTTTTTTTTAACTTGAAGGTATCAGCTAGAAATTTCTCCAGTTAATTACTTACAATAAAGCAATTGTTTTTTGTATTACAAGTTTTCTGAAATAGCATGTTTAAATATGCAAATTATCTTATTAAATATGCACATATTTTAAATCAAATCAAGTTTTATTTATATAGCACATTTATAAACGATTTTTGGTCGAGCCAAAGTGCTGCCACGATTGGTTGCTGATACAAAGGAAATGACCATATTTGGATCCGATGAGATTGTGCAGGAGAGACACAGCTTTCCAGCGATACCTCTGTTGACATGGTGCACACAGCGGTCACAGTTAGAATGCTAACTTTTGGTGAATTTAGGAGAAATCTACAGACGCAAATAAACAAATTATAGTAAAATAAACACTTAAATGTGTATTTTGTACGTTTTCCTTCCAAAAGCCTGAAAGAAAACATGTTATGGAATCAAAATTGACCAGTACTTGAAAAACCATGTTTTTGCCTGCGTCTCGCCTTAAAAGGGTGGAAAATAAAATGTGATTAACAGATTAGGTAACAAACGGTACACTGCTGTTAACCAAACTAGTGGAGACATTTCCCTCCTGAGGTGGTGCGAGTCCGATGTGCCACTGTCTCATATAAATGTCATTTTCCAGGCTAAGATCAAGGCAAGAGATCTGCGGGGCAAGAAGAAGGAAGAGCTGCTCAAGCAGCTGGACGACCTGAAGAACGAGCTCTCCCAGCTCCGTGTGGCGAAGGTTACCGGAGGAGCCGCGTCCAAGATCTCCAAGATGTAAGTAACGTTATGAAATGGTTTAGGCAGGCAGTGAATGAAGATACTTTATAAATGGTAGAATTTCAAAAAAAAGTCCTGCGTGGATCTCTAGTCAAAGATGATATATGTTGAGCTGATGATCTGCTGATGCATTCACAACTGCTTACCAAAAGACTGAGACTTGAGATGACGGAGGTAACTTTTATTCTTTCAGGGTAAGAAGAATCTACCCAGCGTACTGCTTTGACATTAGTCACATTTAACAAACCATTGTTTTGTTTGTATTATCTGAATTGGCAGCATTTTAAAAAGTGAAGTCCTTTGATTGATTGAATGGAGTTATACATGTGCAATCCTCTTAGAACGTGTTCTCTCATGGGGATCCAACATGTTTTATGTTTTGCTAACAGTAATCTGAAATCTGCTGTGCTAATCCACTTTGTCTTCTCTGCAGCCGTGTTGTCCGCAAGGCCGTCGCCAGAGTCCTGACTGTAATAAACCAGACGCAGAAGGAGAACCTGAGGAAGTTCTACAGGGTAAGAGCAAGAAGCTTCCTGTTGGCAGTAACCCCCCCTTCATTGTGTGGATCTCAAGTCAAAGATGATACATGTTGAGCTGATGTTCTACTGATGCATTCTCAACTGCTTACCAAAAGACTGAGACTTGAGATGACCCGAGTGTTCCTAAATAATTCTTATGAAGACATTACTTTAAAGTGTCAAACTTTTCGACATTTTACTTTCCTGTCCTTCACTATTGTGTCTTTGCATTTGGACCAAATATGTTTTCAGCTCCACTGAAAGTTAATGTCCTTTCTTTCAGGGTAAGAAGTACAAGCCCCTGGATCTGAGACCCAAGAAGACCAGAGCTCTGCGCCGTCGGCTCAACAAGCATGAGGAGGGTCTGCGGACCAAGAAACAGCAGAGGAAAGAGCTCCTCTACTCCATCCGCAAATTTGCAGTCAAAGCTTAGATGGGTTTTGACTTTGTCCAATAACAATGACCAATAACAAGCTGGCTGAGCCTTAGAGATCCTGTGTGCCACCACCTCTGTGGAGAGCCATAGCAGCCCACTTGGAGCCGACGCATGATTCCTGGTCTGATGAGATGGATGAACTGTAAAGCCTCAGTTTTAAGAGAGATGCCTGGAGGAAACCTGACTATTCATCACCTGTACCATGCTGGAGGTTAAAGCCTGGGGCAGAGACTTATTTTAAGGGGGGGGGGGGGGAAACTGAATGGTGCACATAAAGTGCAGAGCTCCTGGAAACCTGGTTAAGAGTGCTATGGATCTCAGACACACATATGAACCTGATATTGAGCCAAATACGCCCCCTTTAACATTCTAAACATCCTGAGTTGCCCAGCCAGGACCTGGACTTAAACCAAGTCGAAGATGTGAGAATGGTCGTCCACTGACCACCATTAGCCCATCCCACCTGACTGAGGCTCTGCACAGAGAAATCAAATCAAATGCAGGCTTGCAAAGTGCCCAGCAAGACTCGAGGCTGTGCTGCCAGCATGTAGTACTGAGTGAACTATTCATGTCAATGTGATATTTTCCACATAATAAATTTGTAAAGAGTCTGAAATCCTGTTTGCCTGCTCATTAATGGAATATTGAGGGGGTGGAAGAAATGTAAACCATGTTGGTATAAAACATTTTATTTTTTAATTGACTCCGTAAATTGTGGTGTTGCGTGATATCTAATTAATTTATAATCTTGGAGAGCAGTGCTAATGAGGATTTGAACATGTGCTTAATTTCGGAGCCTTAATCCTGCATTATTAAAGGTCCCATGTCATGGCCGTTTCTACTGATCATAATTCCATTGTTGAGGTCTACTAAAATAGATTTATATTTATGCAATTCTCCAAAATCGCATTGGTTTCTCATACAGTATCTATAGTATGTGTAACAAAGCGTTTATGAAATAAATTACATACCCCACCTTTAGAGGTCATGTAATGAGCAATTGATTATTTAGTGGTCCTACCTGCATGATGGTAAGCCTTGATGAATGCCATCCCTCTAGTTCAGGGGTGTCAAACTCAAATACACATTGGGCCAAAATTAAAAAATCGGTACTAGTCGAGTTCCGGACTGGTTCAATGTTTATTGCAAAATGTATTGAAATGAACTTATTGCACATATCAAACATGCCCTGTTGCCGGGCATCTAATAGGAATTAAAAATTAACCTGTGCTGAAATTAAATCCACCAAGGGCCTGATTTGGCTCCCTGGCCTTGAGTTTGACACGTGCTCTAGCTTTATCTCATCTGTGCTGTTTGATCCAATCCTCCAACAGTGTCAGTGTTTTCAGATTTTTCTATAGTTCAGTTTTCCAGCTAATAGGATTTAATTTTTTTAAGAGGGTTAACACGTGTCAAATCCAGGTACAAAGTGAGAGTAATGAATGTATTTTTGTATAGATGTTACAACTATACATAGCTTTGGCAATACTGTATGTAGATATGGTCATGCTAATAAAGCTATTGAATTGAGTAAAAGTCTGCAGACCTTATAGGCTCGTCAAGTTCTATTTCACTGACGCGTGCATGTGCGTGTATATTTTAATGAGCAGCCTTATTGGCCATGCAAATTGTCTGTTATGTTTCTACAGGTGTTTTGTGTAACATTTACAATTGCCTTAGAACTAAATGGCTTGTAAGCTGAATGATTTTAAGTGCCAGTCAGTTTAAAATATTATTCGAAAACATTTTCCAAAATGCATCTATGATCCGTTTAGACTATGGAAGAAAGTGTGCATTCCACAGTGCTCGAGTGTCAGAGGAATGGAACGTTCTGATTATAGTGTATTATAATGTGTGTTAATGGGTGGTACAGTCGGTCAGTTCAGGAGCCCCCCTGCGGTCAGGGATGGATTTGGATGGATGGAGGTTATTACCCTGCCGTTCTTCATGTTGTCATTTCTAGGGCTTTCAGTGTGTTTTATGTAGGCCAACATGGAGGGAGGAAGAAGAGAGTAAAAAGAGTTCAATTGATTATTCTATTATCTCCTTTATTGTCATGAAACTACTTCCATATTGTTGCAATTGGACACATTCATCCCACGTGTGTTTACTAGATTAGAACAAATAACACTATTCAACCTTCAGGCTGAACTTTAGCTGCTGTGTACAATTAGACAGCATTTACTGCAGTTGTGTGTGTGTGTGTGTGTGTGTGTGTGTGTGTGTGTGTGTGTGTGTGTGTGTGTGTGTGTGGTGTGTGTGTGAGTGAGAGAGATACTGTTGGGGCTGCAGGACTCTTAATCTGGATTACCATGCAGCGCGGCCATGCGTATCAGTTTGGTGAGCTGTGATTCTCGGCAGCGCATGACACATCTGGATGGAGGCAGTCGGTGAAGGGGAGGTGTGTGTGTGTGAGAGAGAGAGAGAGAGAGAGAGAGAGAGAGAGAGAGAGAGAGAGAGAGAGAGAGAGAGAGGGAGACAGAGAGAGGGAGAGAGAGACAGAGAGAGAGAGAGAGAGAGGCAGCACATACTCAGTCCGCGGAACCTCGCGCACACAAATGGAGAGGGAACCAGCAGAAGGCATTATTTCTCCATGCACCGAATTATTTTTCCTGTAAGTATAATCCTTATCTCCATTTATGTTGCTTTATTCTTTCTTTTTGCAAGACATCATCACACATTTTTTCAGTCACTTTCACTTCTGATGCCATGTCTGCATGCCACAATTGTCTTGCATGTGCACTTGTTGTGATGTGCATGGGATAATACAGAATTTGAGTTTAATATATGTTAATATCCACTGCATAAATTGGGATTCATGTGCCGTTTTGTGTGCATTTATATTATGTCTCTGTTAGTAAGTTCTACTGCCTTTTCTGTGACAGTTTACATTTGTTTTCAGTTGCTAATGCTTTCACATGGTGTCACATGGGCTGCACCTAACTATTATTTCACAAATCAGTCGATTATTTACCAAATGAATCTAATTATTCTGTTCTGTATCTGTTTAACTGATTTAAACCCAGAGTTTAAATGTAAATCATAGAGATCTTAACTGAAAGTCATGAAAATACTTATGATATATATATACTATATTCTGTTTTAGCAGCTCAATCTAGTGTTCTTTGATTTCAATCTAGGTTGAGACCATACATGATACTGTAGATTCATTACAAATTACCCAGAACAAATAATAAAAGAGTAAAACAGGCATGGCTTATATTTCCTTTCACAATAGGTTGAGTATGTCAGAAAAAAAAATGCCAAGCCATGTGTTGCACTTTCACTTGGATGAAAAACTATAGGTGAAAACAATATCTACAATCTGATCAAAAACTACTATGCTCATCATTACCCTTCAATAACAAATCATACATTTGTTCGGCATATTTGGTTTTCTAAAAGTACCTTTTATGGGGGAAAGAAAGACCGACCAGTGACTACGATATATAATAACTGATTTGTGTTTCATTTCAGTTCAAAACCTCCCACAAGTGTTCCCATTTGTGCAAATCTATTATCAATGCATGCAGTGTCCTCCTCTACCCTCAAAAGAAACATCTGCATCTGACTTTAAGTGTGTGAATACGAGCACTGATAGCAAGGGGCTCTGAGGGATTTTGATGTTACTAATAACTACAATCAACACTGGGCCATGGAGATGAGCTTGCCTGGAAACACACCCCGCCAAATGAAGGGTGGGTTTAGCCCATAATCCGGCTGTGTGATTTGTCAGATTTCACAGTTAAACCCTGCATTAAAGTTAATCTGAGATTGTTACTCTTCGTGTCTGATCAGAGGGTGGCACACACACACACACACACACACACACACACACACACACACACACACACACACACACACACACACACACACACACACACACACACACACACACACACACACACACACACACACACACACACACACACACACACACACCACACACACACACACACACACACACACACACACAGGCTGGTGCTGTCAATGTGAAGGATTGATCGAACACACTCACTCAGAGCAGATGTGTGATGTGTGTCGTGCTACAGTCACATGATCACTTTGTCTTTTACACGCACCCTAATGGAGAAGTTCACAGCTCTTACATTAGAGTTTATCATCAAACATCACACGCCTGAAATGACCTCCCACAAGTTAAAGCTCAAAAAGGTTACAGACAAGTGCATGTAGAATATTTCCAGAAGCACATTCCCCCACTCTTCATTCTGTTCATACCTTTTGGCTTCACTCAGCTGTCTGTGGCCTCTGGGGTTGTCACAGCTGAATTCTTACAACACATTTGAAGGTGTGTGAAGCACATTGTGGGTAAACAAAGAAATGAAATAACATGCAGCTGGGTGAGGGAGAATGTTCCTACATTCACGAGAACAAAAACATATTATTATTATTACTTAAACATATATTTCCTGAGATCCAAGCTCTATAATTTTGATAAAAAGAGATGAGTTCTTCCACTGATGAGTTGCAATAGTGATCCCATTGAAAAACATTGTCCTCTTACTCTTGAATATTAGCAAAAACTAATGACAATATCATCAGCCTCAGTTTTACTTGGTGCCAAGTGCTAATTAGCATACGTTAGCAAGCTAGCTCACAAACATGCTAACGTGAACAGTATATTAGACGAACACCAGACTGTTTACATTGTACTTCTGAGCATGCTTGCATACTGACGTTAGCATTTAGTAGAACCTCACAGAGAAACCCACTTATTTTATTTTAAAGCACTTTTCATGGATATTTAAACACGTAGCCTAATGCCAAAATAAAAAATGTAACTTGTTGATTTGGCCCTTTCACTATGAGAGAAGATTACGTTCATATACAATTAGGTTATTCATAACAGGTGACTTGTAGTTGTATTGAATTGATATATGAACATTTAGAAAATAAAAAAATACATCCATATACAAAAGAGCATCTTCAAAAGTAGCTTGACAAAAGGGCGACATTGTCCAGTCCTCTTAGTATTCAACAATTAGCCTGGACAAAACAATGTTAGCTTAACAGTGGTTTAGCCTAGAGGTGGGTGTGAGTTCATGCACATGTGTTCAACAAATTGCAGGTCCAATTGCTCGGAAGGTCTAATGCCTCCTGGCTGAATGAGTGTCCGTGAGGTTTATCTCCCCCACCGTCCATCTTTGGTGGGAGCAGATTAGTCAGAAATCCAACAGCTGCTGTGGATTGGTTGAAATAGTGCCACACAGCGCTGTAATACAGTTACATAAATGCAACCAGTCAGAGGTAGGGTTTAACTTGCACAAAGAGCAAGGCACTTGACCCAGAGAGACAGCAAATAAAAAAAGGGTCCCCAGTGGGCCTTTGTGCCGTTTCCCAGCCTGTGTCCAGTGATGCAGAGCTTCTAATTTCTCCAACAAAATGATATATAATAGCATACATTACCTCTTTGTTCTGCTGGTTTTGCTAGCATAATTTCTGACAAGTCAGTTGTTGGTGGCTGGATAATGTGCTGCTACTGCAGACACACAACAAGCACACATGGGGGATGAGAAGGCATATTTTAACACCCCTCCCTTTTCATTTCAAGGTTCAAGGGTTCAAGGTTCTTTATTTAGTCATAGGAAACATTTCAGGCTTACATAAGTAACTCTTCAAACAGCTTGAGATTAAACCAGAGGCTTGTGACTCGGCTGACAGCTTTGTAGTGAGGGAGACTTGAAGACATTGTAGTTGCTACTTTTGGGAGTTGGCGTGCTTCAGAGAGAGTCTGGTAATGCCTTTTTTTATCATGAAAACATTACATTTCCATGTGGAGTTAGCATTTTGACAAAGCCTGAATGAAATCTCTTTGTTTCACACCGGAAGGCTGGGCCTTTACTCAAACTATGCTTTTTCATTTCATGTTCATTTGCACAGAAAGCACATAAATTGAATGAATTCTACATCCAATCAGCCCCGAAAGACTCTAAATCCGAGCCTGAGCTGCCCTAGTTTGCGCAACATTTGGGGGAGACAGACTGCCTTGTCTATTTTTGCTTGCCTCTAAAGCCCATTCAATATGTGGAGCAACAGCTATGGGAGATATGCTTACTTGGATCTGATTCCCAGACTAGTAATCAGATTAATGTAGCTCTTCAGAGCTAAACTACACAACATTCACCCATTAATGCGGAGTTGGCACTGGCAAGCAGTTTCTGTGATAATGATGCACAAGCCTAGAAAAGAAGCTCTTCCTCTCTCCCCATGTCTCCCCCCATCCCTTTCTGCTTTTATTTGTTCTGCCTTTGAGGTTTAATAATGTAGCTGACTGCGTTTTTTTGTTTGTTCTATTTCACTGAAGGTGCCTTGGCGGTGCGATGTAAAGTCAAGAGATGGCTGAGAATAAAACTAATGGGGACAGAAGAAGTGAGGATGAAGGAAGAGGAAGAGGCGGACTAACTAAATCGTCCTCAAACCCCAGTCGTGGACAATCCCCAGGGACCAAGAGGCATCTTCCTCGAGGGATTGTGATCCAGCTTACCGGGACAGAGGGAGAATGGGACAGTCTGGACGACAGTGAGCTCATCTTCTCCCTCGACCACGAAGACGACTACCCCTCCATATCTCTATCCAAAGTAAGGCAGCTTTCTGTCGAGGATGACAGAAAGTTGCATTCCCAAGCTTTCCACGTTCCACTTTCCCCCTCTTCTCCTGGCTCTCTGGGAAACCTCTCCACCACCGGTTCCAGCTTCCTTTCCCCAACCGTTTCCTCTCCCAGCCATAGACCCCTCTCAAAGTCTCTCTCGACGGAGCTGGATATCAAAGAAGGTGCCACTCTCAGACCTAAACCCTTTCTCAGCCTCGTGAAGTCGATATCCACCGAGATCTCCCGCTCAGAGCCGGCGGTGTCGCAGTCAAAATCAGACTCCCGCTTGAACCTCCATCTGTGGAAGCAGCTCACCCAAAAACCAAAAACCCGAAGCAATGGCGACTCTCGCACTGCGCCGCCGTCTCCATGCGCCCACTCCCCAAGTGGAGAGGGGCGAGTGGGTTTCTTCAAAATGGAGTTGGAGGACACCAAGAGGAAACTCTCGGAGGCCGTGCACGAGCCTCTGAGCAGCATGTTCAGTAAGATCATGAGAGAAGATAGCGCAATGAGTCCCAAACACCAGACTAAAAGCCAGGGGGCTCAGCAGGTCAGCTCCAGAAGTTTAGGGCGTGAAGGTAGCACTGACACAAATCTCTCCGAATCTCCTGTGAGGAACACTAAGAGAACAGACGCTGACGTATTGCCAGTGTTTGACTGGCCTTCTGTTAAATCTCCTGGGAGAATCCACCATATTTCCTGTCCTTTGCATCACAACAGACAACATCAAAGGGATGAGGAGCTGGAAATATGTACAGATGGAGACGTGATGCAAGTGTTAGCCGTGGAGTCTCATAGGCAGGCGAGGAGATCACCTACCGATGAACCACCCATGGTTAGGACTTCTTCTCTTTCTCAGCCCCATCCTCTTCCACGCATGACTTTGTTCAGCGTTGCATTGCTCTCCTATGGATACTTCATCCTGCCTCTCAGTCCGTACGTCTCTGGCCTGGCTCTGGGATTAGCTTTGGGCTTCTTGCTGGGACTGTTGCTCATTAGGATGGGTACCCCCAGGTCCCGCTGCTCGGATCCTTCGTACAGACCAACACAGACTCTGCTGGGAGAGGAGATCCTGACAGGTGCCACCATCAGCTCTGAACCTGACACTCTGAAGGTAAATCTGAGGCATTGATGAGTGTTACATTTTTTATTCTCAGGCACCTGAGTCTCAATCTAAAACTGACACATTCCTCAGCATGTCTTCTATAGATAACAGACAATCAGCATTCATTGCATTTCTCATCTTTCTCCCACCTGGCCCTTGTCTCTTAAAAAAATAGTAGGCATTTCGGGAATGATTATTATTTTACTTTCTTGCCAAGGAGATTGATATCACTCATGTCTGTCGTTTTAGTATGAAGCTACAGCCAGTTAGCTTAGTTTACAAAGACTAGGAACGTCTGTTTCCATATCCAAGCAGTCCATTTTCTGTTTGGGAATATTTCCTACATGGATTCATGAGTGAATGGCAGCAGAGATTGATATTAAGGGAAATCTGAGCTGCCATTTTATTTCAAAACACAAGCACTTCAGGGTTAAGTCTATCTGACGGAAGACGCTTTCACATTGAGCAACTGAACGAATCATGAGACGGCGCTGAATTTATATATTTGAATCTATGACTTGTTCACAGCAATGTTTTCCCATTTCTTTTCAAATTTGTTGAATATTATTGACATTACATCAACTTTGGCATCAGACAAAAATATATCCTCACCGGTAATGTTTCTGAAAATATTAATTCAGGTACATCTTGCCTTCGTTTGTTGAGTTTTACAGTGACTGGCCTCCGTAGGTGTTGCATTACGGCCATTACTGGACTGTCTTTTCGCCCTCCTATCCAGCATTGCAATGGCATATGTGAAAAGGCACAAGATGGAAATGTTCCTACATGCAGTGTATGTGTTAATAGTGAAAATCACTACCAGTAATTCTAATAATTTACTGAGAACTATGTGTGAAAGAGTCTTTTTTGAAAGTGAAGGGATTTAAATAGCTTGTTTACTTCAAATACACTTACTAAATAACTTGTTTTATTTCCTACCAATTTGTTCAAAAGGAAAGTGTTAAGATGGCGTCACACTTCAACACCTTCTACAAACACAGAGTAAAGCTGTTGAAAGTGGCAGGCAACCAGAAAAGATGCCCATAATGCAATTAAAACCTTTACTTTAAAAACCGGCTGAGCTGCAGTGGTAATTGCTGTTCTCCCCCTGGCTGAGCTTGACACTGAAGGGGACAGTTAACAACCAGACACTGTCAGATCCAGAGGCAATTAGTGTGCGATCCAGGCGAGAGGAAGCTGTAATTTGTCAGGGCGTGAGGTAGATTGGGGGTGAAGAGTCGTGGTGATGGTTGGAAATGGGAAGTTAAATGTCTCCGTGATGAGATATTTCCCTTGTTTGGTCATTAGCAGCTTGTTGAGTCTGACGGCTGTTGTTGGCATGTGAAAGTCCGAGCCCTAAGGTTTGTGAGGTGTCTGCTAATCAGGCGACAGACTGAGAACTGTCACCGTGTTTGATTGGCACAATTTGAGACAAGGGTAGAGGCTATTTATAAAGGAACTAGCTATAAACAATACATGGTTTATTAGTTAATTAGAGCATTAAAAGGAAGCTCATAAAGAGATGGTAGAATTCACCACACATGCAGCGATCCTATACACCGTATTTCAGACTGAAAAAGGTTTTATCTTGAAGCGTCATATTAATGAACAATTGTTAAGCCCAACTAACTATGCTTTTATGTCTATAAAATGTATGGAGTTTTGTGTAAAGGATTGGAATTGAAGTCAATTTGTTTGATGAAAGCTCATATTTGTACCCTAGGTTTGTACGCTACTCATATTATTTAGCTTAAACCAGGAGACAGTTAGCTTTGCCTGAAGACTGAAAACAGAGTCTGAAGATCCAAAATACACCTACCAGCATTTCTTCCGCTCATTACCAACAAATCCTAATGTTTATTTGCACAAAAATATAAAGAGTCTTGTCTGCACGATTGCTGCATAAAAGCAAGAGAAGACATATTGCCTGGAAGGCTGAAACAAAAACATATTTTCATCACAAATTCTCTCTAGCTCTATGGATGAATAATCCTCTAATGCCTCTCTTCTAATTTGTTTACTTTAAAAATAGCAATGTTGAAATCCCCAGGGATGATATTTGAATATTTGGACATAAAAAATATAGGTTTACAGTCAGATTTGCTGTATACTTCATTTTTAGGCTGACTACAATCATCACAACATGGCTTCTTCAAGATTGGTTCAATTCCAAAGTGTTTGTTTATGACTCACTTGAAACCTCTGCATGGTGTTGATTATAACACCTATTTCCTGCCTTTGTAGGGCTGGATGAATGAAATACATGATTACGACCCAGAAACCTTCCATCCAGCTCTGACTCATTCGGTGTTTTCCTCCCTGGAGGGCTCCTCTCTCCGTCTGGACTCTCCGCGAAACAACATCAGCCGCAGGGCCGCATACGATGAGAGGGTCCAGGAGGCCGCCTTCGTCAAGTCACGCTCCTTCCAGCTCGCAAAAAGCAAAGTATGATAATAATAATAATAACAATACAGCGTTATTTATATAGCACTTTTCATACAACTCATGCAGCTTAAAGTGCTTTACAAAATGACACATCACAAGTTAAAAACAAACAACAAGAAATTGCCCTCAGATTGTTTAAGAACTTTAAAAGGTACATGCAGCAAAATATAACATTTGATCAGGTTAATAGACACAAGGTGTCACGATCTGTCCATGTTGTGTTTTGTCTTGTCTTTTTCTGTCTTTGGTTTCCTGTTTTATTTTGTAAAGTGTTCACCCCCCGTTCCTGCCTGTTGGTTTCTGTCTGTTTTCCCTCCCTGATTACCGATTGTGTTCACCTGGTGCCCCTGTGTTTTCTCCTCCCTCCTCACCTGTCTCTTGTTTGTTTGATTAGTCCTGGGTCCTTAGGTTCTGTGTTTTCTGTTAGTCTTTGTGAGTTCCTTGTCGTATTTGGACGTTGTTCACGGGGTGAGAGTACTGGTTTGTCCAAGTTTGTTTCAGTAGCCTTGAAATAAAGGTATTTTTTCTGTTCATCTGCATTTGGGTCCTGCTTGCCTCACTCAGCCCTGACACAAGGAGGTCAAATGTATGATAATAAAAATAAAATAAATAATGGTTTCTCTCTGACAGATAAGACACAAGACAACTGAGTCGATGCAACAATATAAAATCCCATGAAACAAAGTGAACATATAGGTACAACAGAAATAAAAAGATTAAGACCTATAAAATAAAGAAAACAATGTAAAAGGTAGGTAAAGTGACAAAGTTACTGCGTTATAGGAACATTGGTTTTGTATCCGACGTTGGTTTCCCCCCCCAAATGAGATATAAAAAGTGCAGTGAAAACCTTGTATTGTTTGGTATTATGAGGATGTTCTGTTATGTAGGTCAGGACTAAAGTAAAGTCAGTCTAACTTTATGTAACATTCACCCAATTAATGCATGCATAAGATTTTGACTAATTAATGCTGGGATGTTGGAGTAATGTCTATTTTAACTGTCTGAAATAGCTTGTAAGGCCTGAGAGAAAATAAGTAAAAAAGAATGCATGTATCTGCCCCTGCGATTTGCATCCCCCTCCTAAATGTAATGGGTTCGTCTTTGGCCGATGCTTCACCCTCCAACCAAGTTTCACGAAAATCAGGCCAGTAGTTTCTCCGTAAACCTGCTGAAAGACCAACAAACAGACTCTTTTGCAGAGGTCATAAGGTTAGGCAAGAAACAGTCAAATGTACTTCTGATTCGTTGATTAACTAGAATGTATTAATGACAACAACATGGGATATCGGAGTGCATTGCCCGTTTAACAGATGCTGTGGTGGCTCAACTTCCGATTAAATTGAGTCGCCAAGACGTTAAACTTGGCTTTAGACTGTGACGTGTTTACAACAAGATAGTCCATACTGAAGTTGAAAGGTTAAGGATGTTAAATAAACTAAATGAAACACACGAAAACTAAGGTAAGCTCACCCTCCATCATCCCACCCCCAGCATGCAACAGGTGACCTAAATACCAAAACAACCATGTGACAATTGCAGGTAGTGCTCAACTAATACAAATATAAACAAATATTAAACTCAGGCTCAAAAGCTTGTTGTCTCCTACATACAGTATGTCTTTGCTTTGACACAACAAATCTCTGCCACTGATCCTCAAAGGTATTCCTGCTGCCACCTGTTCTGGCTCGGAAGAGGATGTGGAACCCAAAGTATCCCATCTGCATCCAACTGGCCGCCGGAGCGAACTCTCAGGAGGACGAGGGAGGAAAGTGGGAGGAGAGTCGGGAAGAGGGACCGGAACCTGGAAGTCCTCAACAAAGATCCATTCCCAGGACCCTTTACCTCTTCGGACGCACAGGAAGAGAGAAAGAAGAGTGGTTTCGTCACTTCCTGCTAGCGTCCACGGATCCAGAGAGGGAAAAGGAGAGAGAGCCAGGCAGATGTGAGTCCAGATTGGGTATGAGAAAATAATGCATTAGATAAGAGAGGGCTTCCAGATAAGGCATCTATACAAATGCTTTATATGTGTGGATTATGGATTACATGCTCCAATTCTTTGCATTTTAAACCAAATCCCTTTTGAGGGAACATACATATCTGTGAGTTGTTGTTGTTGACATGACTGGGCAAAGGTATCAAGAACAACAACTTTAGTTTTATTGTATTTTGATGAAAAATGACTAAAGGGGAATATATATAATTTAGTGATTTCAAAGAATAGTTTTAAATTCTGGGAAATATTATTGTGCAAAGCGTCAGATGAGATGATCTATACAAATCTAATGTCTGTCATTTTTCTGGTTTTGAGTAGAAGCAGGATTAGTTTACATTAGCTTAGCATTAATACTGGAAATACGGGGAGACAGCTAGCCTGGGTCGGAACATTTTGTATAATTTCCAAAGCACACATTTTTCATTACATCGGAAATATTGTTTTGATAAAATCTTAAACTGTCAAATTAAAAGCCTATGAAAGAAAAACGTTAAGACTGATGTGAAATGTAGCTTTGAATTATTTAGTGAAAAAGGGAAACTGGAACGCCTCACTTGACTTGTGTCGTACCGATACAATTATATGTTCTTTGTGAATGATAACCAAAAGGTAATTACTTCTAAATGCTGCCAAAAGATATTGAAGTGACTGTTATTTTGTATATATTGATTGTTGTGCTTTTATTTATGTCTTAATGTGTCCATATGTATACATGTGTCTGTTGATTTATATATTTGTATATACATTTATATTCGAGATTGTGGGAAACGGTATTTCAATCTCTCTGTCTGTACACACAAACTGAACAATTGACAATAAAGTTGACTTTTGACTTTGACTGTACTCTCCCAGGTGACCCAGCGTTGGCACACAGCGTTTCTGCCCAAGCTAACGTCCCGAGCAACAGAGGCCCAAGCAGAATAGGCAGCAGTGATGAAGACGCCACCTTCATCCCTCCAGCACCCAGCCTCCCTGTCAGTCAGACCTCCAGCAGCACCAGGGGCCTTTCCCTGCTAGACTACCAGGGATACATGTCCCGTCTCCTGGCCAAGGAGGAGCTCACCCCCCTTTCCAGTCCTGGAGCCAGCAGCAGTGCAGAACCGAGCCCCACCACCATCAAAGGGAATGTAAGCAGTCATACTAGCAGATACAATTAAGTGAAGCAAATGGAGTGAAGCTGTGGGGACATTCTTGAGCTGGACAGTGAACATGTTATATTACATCTGCAGAGAGTAAAGTGACACAGAAAAATAGAAATGACTAGTATGCAAATGCTTTTCTTGTCTTTGCTAAGCTCTCACTCAGGTGTCTTTTCTTGCAGTGTACCTGCGATTTAGCAGAGCATCCTGGGACGAGCCAGACTGCGTGGGCCAACGCTCTAATTGGTCGACTCTTCTGGGACTTCCTGCGAGAGAAGCACTGGGCCGATGTGGTTTCCTGCAAGATCCAGAAGAAGCTGAGCAAAATCAGAGTGAGAGCAGTTTTATTTAAAGCTAATGTGGCAATTACATTTAAGGGCACACTAGGATCAGTATTTAAGTTTTAAAATTTCAATTACCTATGTTTGGACAGGTAAATAAGTACACATAGTTAAATACCTCTTTAGATGAAAGAGATAGCCTGACTGATAATTCACTTTTCTAAAATGGCAAACAATAATAACAATAGAAAACAAAAGAAAAATGGCATGCAAAAATATTTTTTATAAAAAGATAAATAATGAAAATGAAAATTAAAGAGAGATATAAATACTTGTAAAATATAACTCATTTCTTGTTTTACTATATACAATTAGATAAAGTAGAGAACATTATCAATACCACACTTTATTCTAAAAGTATAGGTTAAATTGTTACACTATACCCCGAGTTAATAATATGGTGAATTTTAATATTATGATATTTTTCATCCTTTACAGCTGCCTTACTTTATGAATGAGTTGACTCTGACTGAGCTGGATATGGGCAGCTCTGTGCCGCAAATCACCGCTACCTCCAGACCAGAAGTCAACCACAGAGGTGAGTGCAAACAGCATACAAATACTTAATATGCAAACACACAAATGCAGGAGATGAGTGAGGATGTGACCTGTTGCTCGTGTGATTACAGCTGAGCAGAGCATCAGATCAGACGCTCTTATCCTGTTGTAATCTCACGGAGCAGGAGAGCCATTACGCCATGACCTTCAGCATTTAGAGCATATTGGCTTGTGGATGCATGCGTGTTTGTTTATGTTTGTGTGTGTCAAATCAGGGATACTGGCAGTCAACATTCCCAATGATGAGTGGAAAGTGTGTCAGCATGTGACTGTGCGACCTCTTGATTTGTGTCTCTCTGCTCCAATTCACTGTTACACAATCGCCCTCCAACAAATTATCCGCTCCCAAAGGGGATTTTAGATCTGTTGTAATTTGTTGTAAATTTAATTTCAGTGCCCGATAATCACTGTACAAGCCGTTTAATCTGCCCAGCTGTGTGTGTGTCCAGATCCAGCTGTGTGTGTGTGTGTGTTTTGCCTTGATTTTGGTGGTCTGGTGATGAACTCTTCTCACTGTTGCCCCCGCAGGCCTGTGGGTGGAACTGCAGCTGGTTTACACCGGCGCCTTGCAGATGACCCTGCAGACCAAGTTCAACCTGTCCAAGCTGGGGAAAGAGGGCGGTCATGATGCAGATTGTACGACAGAAACTCGTAGCCCATGGTCAGCATTATAAACACTACAAACACAGAAACATACATTCTTGTTTTCATTACATTAGAGGACAATATATTGACTTACATTCAATTTTCTGGGGACGTACCCTGTACTTCTACCTGCCTTCGCCAAATGAAATCTAACTTAAACCTCAACTTACCTTTATATAAAACTAAGTCTTTACCATACATTTTATAATTTAGGTTGGGGAGAGTCCTCATAAGGTGAGTATGTAAACAGTGTAATGTCCCCACAACATTTGTTAAACAAGCCCAACCACATGATGGCTGTTCGAACTTTCCTCTTTTATATGCTTTTCTAAATACTTTAGAAACAGATTTGTAGTGTTTTCTGTGTGTTTCCTAATTATTGTAAATCAATTTTTATGAAAAGAATGTTGGCTCTTGGCTTCCATTGTGTCAATGTCACTTTTTAATGTAAAAAAGAAGTTGATGCTTCAATGTATACCACAATTTTGTCCTCCATCCACCCGTTACTAACTTTTCTGTCTTCCCGTGCATCCTCCCAGCTGCAGGCCAATCTTCAGCGTGTTGGCGGACAGCGACGAGGAGTCCTCCAGCGCTGGGTCCTCTGATGAGGAAGAGCTGCTCCTATCAGAGCCTCAGGGCCCGGTGGGAGACAAGGGATCCACACCAGCTACTGATGGGTAACTGCTCAAATATAAAGTAGTGAATTATGAAAGAAATACTGCCAATGTGTCATGGCTGAGAGCAGAGCAAGATGGACCCAAATGCAGGACAAATACCTTTAATTCCAGGTTAACAGCAGGCCAGTCAAAACTAAAATAAGAAAACTCTCCAACACACAGAAAACTGTCCACTTCCACAAAAGACAAACAAGGATCTGACAACAACTGACAGAAAACCAGAACTTAAATACATGCAAGACTAATCACAAGGACAAGACACAGCTGGGGAGGGAAGGAAAAACAGAAGGGCACCAGGTGAACAGAATCAAACGGGAGGTAAAACACAGAGACAGGAAGTAAAAACAGACATTTTGAAGACTTTTCTAAATAAAACAGGAAACTCGTGTGACAGATCGTGACACCATGTGTTTGTTTATATGTTTCCTCGGTACAGAAGGTTGTATACTACAATGATAAGTGCTAATATGACTCTAAACATATGTTTACGTTAATTAAAAGAACATTTGACATGTACCATGAACTGCTATTTCTGTGTGATACATAATTATAAGACATTTTACATAAACAGCTTATTAAAAATGGAGCCCTTTCAGATGGCAACACCTCTAAGTGTTACTTCTACCCTTCTGTGTTTTGAATGCTAATTGTTCTAAAGCAGAAAATAAACTGCGCTGACATCACACTCCAGATGGCTGCTTTCTATTACAGTTACATTTCAGACTCTCATTTCTCCTCATATTTTGACTCACACTAAATCTCCTCTTCTCTCCTCTCTTTTAATCCTATCTTCACAGGACAGGGGGCGGAAAGACTGGGAGGAAGATTTTGAGGTTTGTGGACAAAATCGCTAAATCCAAGTATTTCCAGAAGGCGACGGAGAACGAGTTCATAAAGAAGAAGTTTGAGGAGATGTCCAACACGCCCCTGCTGCTCACTGTGGAGGTTCAGGAGCTGTCGGGCACTCTGGTCGTCAACATCCCACCGCCCCCTACGGACAGGATATGGTAAAAACTGAGGTTTTAGAGCATTATAGAGTGGCGAAGTCCCGCCCATCTACTTCCGACCCATGGGACCTTATTTCGGAAAAATTATGTATTGAAGTCAATGGAGAGAAAAAGATTATCTTTCGACCATATTTGAATTGTGCCACGAATTACACATATGATGTTTGTCAATCTTAACAAATAATTTCCATGTCAAAAAAGTCACAGTTTGTCGTAAAACTGTTGAAATATAAGACTATGAAAAATATGCAACTAGAATGACTACAAATCCCAGAGTCCCGGTCCCGCATGCTGGCTCTCACGGAACCGACTAACTCCCCTTGTGTGTATGTACAGCTCTCAACGTGCCCAGACTTGTAGTGATTTTCACCTCTTTTAATATTTTCCGCCTCATTCTGAAAGAAAGAAGTGAAATGTTCCAACGTAACGGCCATCTTGGTGTGTGGTGCGAGACGGGAGATGTAGTTCATTAAGCGGTTTCACACAAAAAAAAGTGTTGCTTCACAGTTTTACGACACATTTTTAATTTCTTGACTTGCAAAATTATCTTTTAAATTGACAAACATCATATGTGTAATTCGTGGCACAATTCAAACGGAATCGAAAGATAATCTTTCTCTCCCCATTGACTTCAATATATACCTTTTCCGAAATAAGGTCCCATGGAGCTCCACCGGAAAGGGAGGGACTTCGGCTCTCTGTACAGTATATTCTGAAGGTTTTACATTTGTATTGTCTTCCAATCTGTGGCGACTATATTCCCATTGAATACGGCCGCTCTGAGGCTAAACTTCGCTCATTGTTGTGTCGCGTATAAATAATAAAGTCTGTACTGAACTCGACGTTTGAAGGATATTTAATATTGTAAATCAAAACAATAAACAAACAGAATCATACGGTCAACAAAAGATATCAGAGCTACGCTACCAAACTTCCACATACACCAGGTGCCCTAAATCAAATCAGGTTATATTTATATAGCACATTTTAAAAACGATTTTTGGTCGAGCCAAAGTGCTGTGCATGCAAATAATAAATAACGCATTACTACAATCGCAAACAGAAGACAATAAATTACAACAGCAAATATAAAAATCAAACACAGGGAAATGTCATGAGTCGTGCTCCGCTCTGACTAGAAGGCCAGAGAGAAGAAGTGAGTTTTTAGTGTTGATTTAAAAAAAAAAAACAGGGTCTGGGCCGACCTCACAAGGAGGGGCAGAGTGTTCCAGAGCCTAGCGCCAGCTGCTGCGAAGGCTCGGTGCCCTCGGGTTTTGAGCCTGGTCTTGGGCACTACCAGCAGCAGCTGGTCAGCAGACCTTAATGCTCTGGCTGGGGTGTTGCGATGGAGGAGTTCGGCTATATAGGCCGGAGCCAGCCCATTTAGTGCTTTAAAAACAAATAAAAGGAGTTTAAAATCTATTCTGAACCGAACTGGAAGCCAGTGCAATGAGGCCAGAATTGGGGTGATGTGGTGACGCTTTTTGTGGCCAGTGAGAAGACATGCAGCTGCGTTCTGCACTAGCTGCTGGTGTCTAATTGACGCCTGGTCCATACCCACGTATAGGGCATTGCAATAATCCAACCTTGTGGTAACAAAGGCGTTAATAACCCTTTCCAGGTCTTTAAAAGATAAAAACGACTTGGTCTTGGCCAATAGTCATATTTAAAAAAAGCAGGTTTTGACTACGCTGCTGACCTGCTTATCAAATTTAAAAGCGCTATTGAAGGTCACTCCAAGGTTCATGGCAGAGGGGAGGATATTTTTATTGAGGGAGCCCAGAATATCAACCGGAGAGGCTGGAGGTTGGGGTCCAAAAAAGATGACCTCGATCTTGTTCTCGTTGAGGTTGAGGAAATGTTTGCTCAGCCAGGATTTGATCTCTGTCCTAAATACCATTAACCACACCCATGTGACAATTACCGGAAACAACCCATTACAAGTGTGTGTGGTGTTAATAAATAATGAAGATAATATAACTATAAACACAGGCTACCCAGGGACGCGGGAAGTCAGTCAGAGCTGGGGGTGCGGGGGGATTTCACACACGAAATGCAGCAGGTTATTTTCTAATCAGAAGACGATTTATTGTTGATTGAGACGCAGCCGGGTAGCAATAACAACGCACTTGAACTTTATAGCGCGCACTGCGCACCGGATTGTATAACAATAACAGATGCAGAGTTAACAGAGATTAAACAGATTAAAACAGAATAGGCATTTCTAACAGTGACCATTTACACATTTTACACAATTGCACATTTTTGTGAATTCGGCTGTGCGATATAGAAAAGTGCTAAATGAACGTATTTATTTATTTTATTTAAGTGAACACAGAGCAACCATCCGAAAATATTAATAACGAGTAACTCTGAACTTCTCTCTCTTCGCGCACACACAGCATAGGCACCGAAGGTGGTCTTGCGCTCAGGGGTGGTGGAAATAAGTCACAGTCTGTGCAGTCATTTGTTCCTTAGCAACAGCTTGTGAGAGAAGCGCATTCATTGGTGTTCGTTTGAATGCTGCCAGTTTGTTGACGGCCTCCGTGTGTTGATGGGACTTCTCATGCTCCCTAAATTGTTCCCTTGCCTTTCACAGTTGTTAAACCCTCCTTTAACAAAACTCCCATCCCTGATCTTGTCTGCACTGACGAGGGCAACTGAGTTGTTGTTAGCTGCTGGACGGGTGTTCTCTCCTCCGGGTTGCTGGAGTGACAGTTGTCTGTGTCCACCTGCAGGGACTCCGAGTCGATAGGGTTTTTTGGTTGTTTGGCTTTGGGGCCATTAAAGAAATCTAATATCTGTTTTTGAGACATAGTAGTAGCAATACTAGTAGCAGACTATTACTTGTCAATTCAACCTCCTCAACAATGATTTTTTGCGCCCAACGATATTTGTTATGATATTTTTTGTCACAGAAAATATCATAACAAAAAACGTTGGGCGCAAAAAAATCACAGTTGAGGAGGTTGAATTGACCAGCAGTAATAGTAGTCTGCTACTTATTAATGATGTTTTCTATATATCAACCATTTAAAAAACAACCATGTTTAATAGACTGCTTACACTAAAATGCTAACTCAAAATAAAACTTTTTTATTGATTTGTTTAGTGAACTTTTTCGCGTTGCAGTTACAACTCTCCGCCAACAGATGGGGGTGCTGCAGCCCCCTCAGCACCCCCCCTTCCCGTGTCCCTGAGGCACAGCATTTTGGCTCCTACACAATCAACAGTGCAACTTTTATCCTGGCTTGACACCTTATAAAGCAGTATAGAGGTAAATCATCACCCAAATCTTAGCTACACCTTTTAAACCAACTTTATTCCAACTAACTAGACATTTTACCCTTATGTTTTGGGCCTTTATGTTCAATAGACCTCATTTCCACACATCTTAACCAAATTTTTCAGGTAAAAAGGCACAAATGTAGAATTATTTTGACTATATTTAAGAACTGGCTGCACATAATGCCACCACATGATCTATGCTTTTTGTTTCGTACGATCCATCCATGTTACTTTTGTGGCAATACGATTTAATAACCCCTTATTATGACAAAACCATTTTTAAAAACTGGGAACATTTGAGCTGAGGACAACTGGAAAGTGTTAGGCACTACTTTACTATGTCTTATTTTCCTTACATCAATTGTACTCCAATGTACCAAGTACTGCTTGTGATGAACACTCTACAACTGCTAATTCAAGAACAAATCGGTTAATGTTCAGCAACACGTTTCCTTCGTGCCTGCTGGATGTGTGACTCACTTTTCACACCTCATCTCCTGCCAAAAGAACATTTATTTATTCTACTAAGCCTGTTTTAAGCGCTGCAACAGAATGACTCTCATCCTCCAAGAAACACTCTGCGTTATATTGACGTGTGCGTTACATGAAAGTAAATATTTTTTATATCTGTGTGTCCTTCCTCATACTCCACTCTGTTGACCTACCTATTACAATTCTGCACACAACTATCACTTTGAAACTGCACAGCTCTTTCACTTTTGGATTCAGATTTACTCTTAATATTGCTTAATAGACATTTGTCATGTACTTATTGTATTTCCTTATTTATCGTTTTCTATATTTACTTTTATTTTTCATATGCTTTTCTCCTACTGTCTTTATGTATGCACCTTTATCCAACAAAGCAAATTCCATGTGAAACCTACTATGTTAAAAACCAATATCTGATTCTAATGAGCTAAAAAACATCAATTATTTTATCAATACTGTTATTTTTTCCTCTGTAGGTACAGCTTCTGCGTTCCCCCCAAACTGGACCTGCGTGTCCGTCCCAAACTCGGGGAGAGGGAGGTGACTTTCTGTCATGTGACCGAGTGGATTGAAAAGAAACTGCAGGATGAGTTCCAGGTAACAAAATTCTACAGTACATATTAAAGCTCACCTACTATGCAATATCCACTTCTTCATGTCTCTTCTACATCAACATGTGTCCCCTCTGTGGAAAGAGATTCTAAAAGTTTCATGAAAAAAGATTCTCTCTCTTTTTGTCCTGATCCGTTTGTATAAAAACCTGTCTGAAAATGAGCTGATCAGATTTTGGCCACTTTATGATGTCATAACGATGTTTTGGCTTGTGTAACCATTAGCCAATCAGCAACCAAGTTAACCCCCCCACCTTATCACCTGAATCTCCTCCTAGAGCACCATTGTGTTCTTTTTAACCAAATATCTCTGAGAGGGAAGTGGGGAGGGGCTCCTTATTTTTCATCTAAAGTAACAGACAGAGAATCAGCACTTTTGAAACAGGGCTGAAACAGAGTGTCACGATCTTAGTTTTATGTCACGGTTTTGTTTGGTCTGTCTTGTCATGGTTTTATTTTGCAATTCTGTACTCCCTGTGTCTTGTCTTCCTCCCTGTCATTAGTTTCCCTGGTGTGTCTGATTGTGTTCACATGTTGCCCTTGTGTTTCTCCTTCCCTGCCCGGCTGTTTCTCGTCTCATGATTACCCCTCCTTGTATTTAGTCTTGTCTCTTCCTGTGTTCAGTGTTGGTTCATTGTTTGTCGTTCATGTCTCCCTTCATGTTGGTCACAGTCACCTTTTGTTTGGATGCTACCTACAGTACCTGTTTATGGATTCTTGTTTTTTCAGCTTTTGTAAATAAAGCTCGCCTTTTGTTTCATTTTGAAACCCGCTTCCCTCCTCAATCTGCATTTGGGTCCTATTTTTCCCCAACCCTGACACAGAGGGGATTATGGGTAATGCTGCAATGATCTGTTTGGTGTTGGGAGCCAAACACTTCAGAGACATGTTTTATATATATCTGAGACCTATAACATATTGATGAAAAACTGTATAATAGGGACCTTTAATGCTTTGTCTCACAACTATGTATTTTTATTCCTCCAGAAAGTGTTTGTGATGCCAAATATGGACGACATATACATACCCCTGATGCATTCTGGGACGGTCAGCCCTGGAGCCTCTCAGTCCCAGCGCTCCCACTGCTCCTCCACAGAGTCCATCGAGAGGATGCCCCCCGAGATCTCAGTCTGACTAGTGCCTCGTGTTGATGATCACATATAAGGAGCGTTGTGGGTAATATTCAGAGGAAAAAAACTCTGAATTTTAGAGATTAAACCTGCAGTTAGTAAAAATATGGTTACATTTGCTGAGACTGTCACTTAATCATGACAGATATTCTTTGAACAAGTCATGTTCCTTTTAAAGTCATACATTTGCCAGAAGAAAGTTGGACAAGTGTTAAATATACAAGAAGAAGAGAGATAGTCAGATAATATGACCAATATTTTACTTTATACATTTATGACCCTAATTTTCAGACTTTTAAATGTATTTCTTCAATATTACCCCCCTTGCGGTCTTTACCCTGCAAATTGGATCCCTATATTATAAGTGGGAACAGGGGAGAAGCAGAGAAAATGAGAACATCAAGTAACATTTTGCTCTAAAGGTTTCAAAAGCTCTCAAACCGATTTATACTTTGAGTTTTTTAAGGTCTGATGTTTAGCGCTGCAGGTGTTTGGGTGGCTAATGGAGAATCTGGGGTTTGTTTGTTCAGATTCCTGTGCATAGTGTGCAAACAAAGAACTACAAGTGTTACCTTTTACAAACGTTTACATGGAAATGATCCCTATGAGATTATGTAAATATCTGTATTTTTTTTTGCTGCTTTGATGTTTACAGCTTAATGTAATTTTGGATATAAATGATGGACTTTATTAAATAAAACCTAAGTAAAACATTTGCCATTTTGTATCTCCTCCATGACACAGCTAATGAGAAATGTTTATGAGACAAGAAACACATGACATTTCCTCATTAGATGATTATGGTAAGAAACGCTCATGAAATAAAGAAAAAAAAAATCAATGATGAAGAAGTAAAGCAGGAAAGGAATGATCCCAACTAGGGATGGGTATCGAGAACCGGTACTAAGTCAGTACCGGTACCTGATTGGACGGTATTGGTATACCATTAAGCCGCTGGACAAACGGTGCTGCTATTCTTAGTTTAAACAATTCTGGTTGGTTGGGAACCCTCATCCCGTGTGACGTATCCGGTTTGATTACCACTCTGATTGGCGACTGTGAATGCCGCTCCTCATCTCTCCTAACAGCGCTCTTATTATTGTGAGACTCCCGGGGGCAGACCATAGCGGGGGCAGACGCAACATCTTGCTAGAAACAGCGTCTCAAGGCTTCTTAACATTTAACAATCTATCAATGATGCATACCCACTTAACGGGAAGAAACTCATTTAACAGACAATATTAACCATTTGACCTACACGGAACAGAAGTCCAACACCAAGAGTCTAAATCAACACTTAGCAAAACGGGCTAACGGGACTAACGGCTACTTTAGCACATAACTGGCAAAAGTGATCTTTTCTACGTCATTTTAAACGGTTAATCCAATGTCTCTGTGTAACTTTAAAATGATTACTGATAATCCATCATTACAATTATAAATAATAAACACAATAAATGGATTATAATGGTTAGTCGAACGGGGCTTCCAGTTTAGGAGGTGCACACGCAGCGTCTTGTTTTAACTGAATAATGGTCATGTTTACATGGATTTATGAACTGCCCCTAATTATCGCCCCCCTTCCAGAGACACACTGTCAAACACACTCATACCTTATTGAAAAGTATCGATAACAGTATAGAAAAATACCGGTATCGATAAGCAGTATCGGTATCGATAAAATCCTAACGATACCCATCCCTAATCCCAATAGAACATGGTCAGAAAAGAACATGTACCGAATGCAAAATCCGGATGCATAAAACAAAATCACATGAGGAAGAAGTGTGATAATGTGTGGGAGTGTGTGTGCACTGTGCACATGTCACTCTTAAAGACTCTGTGGAGTTATTTGCAGGCACAAAAACAAGCCGCGTGCAGTGGTGACTGGTCATTAGGGGCAGATGGGGCACAGCCCCATCTAGTGTCAGCAGAAAGTATTAAAAATAATGATTACCAAAAAAAAAAAATATATGTATATAAAATATATTTTAAGATCAGTTTTAATCATCTGATTCGTCTGTACATTGCTGTTTTAGTCTGTGTTCTTCTAATTAGTGTCTGCAGTGTGTGCCTATTGAGACGTTTTGAGCCATGTGGGACAAAACCCGATCATGCCCCTCCCTCTCACTGTCTAAATCAATGGTGACTTTTAAATCTACACTGCGGATGCTCAGAGTATTTTTCAATTTAATGTGTGGCAAAAACATAATGACCATAGGAGCATAGTGCTGCCATCCCCACCATACGTCATCTCACATCATTCAGAGCTGATTGGCTGTAAGTATGTGTGCCGCGAAAAGTGTAGTGTGTGAAGAGGAGACGAGAGAGTTGCAGTCACTCGTCCTAAAACCCGGAAGTAAGCTGCGCATGTCTTCCCTCGACAAAAAAGCAATGAGATTTCTCCATAGGATTTTAGAAAATAGCTCCAAATAAGATCTGTGGGAAACGTACCTGTTAGATAAATGCACGTTTTGTTCAGCCGGATAGTATACACATGTATACCCTACTTTTATCATTTTCGAATCATAAATCTATTGATTAGATTTATGATAGACTTTTGAAACTACAAGAAGATAAGGAGGATTTTTACAAAAAAGTAATAGAGATTTTTGTCCAGAGGGATAGGCAAATGGACTTTATCTTCAAGTCAAGGTAAGACCACCATTTTATTGAAAATGGGATCTTACTAAGAGAGAACAATTCAATATTGAAATGATACAATTACATTTTTTGGGTATCCTTTTGTTGAACCGTCTGTTTAAAATTAATTGAAGGATCAGACTAAAAAAGCTTTTGAAAATAATATTATATTTTGATTTAGGTCAAAATATAATATTTGTAAACCTGAAGAGTCAGTGCCTCACCAGCCATGAACCTCACTGCACGTCACTGCAGAAGCTTATATATAGACATCTAAGTTTTTTGTGCCCCACCACTTTTGTACATGTAAAAACGCCACTGGCCGAGTGTGTGTGTCATTTTCAGTTTAGGAAGATATTACTCACTCCTACATCTCAAAATTTTGTTTTTCTGCTCTATTAATTCTTATAATCCCATATAAAGGACATCTTAAGTAGTTTAATAGTAATAATAATAATACATGGGATTTTTATCAAGCAAACATAAGAGGGCAGCAGAGTACATCTTAATCCAGCATTCACATAACTTTATTTCCATAAAAACAATGTCAGATTATATCTAAATTAATTTACTCAAGTATTGTACTTGATGCATTATTGAGGTACTTGTTTTGCTTTCCAAATAAGGCAATGACTGTATATATTTTATTTCCTGTGATTATGGACCTCAGATATTGTTTCTTTGCACCAAACATACATATATTTAAATGTAATATATTTAATTTCCCCTTGTAAAATAATAAAAGAATGTCTTGTTATTCTTCTTTAAAAAAGTGGGAATAATTCTGGTCACTTCTGATAGTGACGGCAGTGTGATATAATAAACTGCCTACATTCCTGCAAGATTACAACAATCTCATGCTTCTTCCTGAAGGTTGCTGGGAACTGCAACCCCCCCCCCCCCCACACACACACACACACACGCACGCACACACACACACACACACACACACACACACACACACACACTCACACACACACACACACACACACACACACACACACACACACACACACACACACACACACACACACACACACACACACACACACACCACACACACACACACACACACACACACACACACACACACACACAAAACTGGTTTGGGGATCTCCCAGAGTCTCTCAGAGCCTCTTTTCCCGTCAACAGCACGTGTATGACTTGGTTTTCACCTCAGGCTTCCTTATGCCTACCTGTGACACAATACATCCATTCTTTGGGACGATGACTGTTCCGCCTAAAGCAAACGGAGGACTTAGTTACAGTACTGAAGGATTTATTTACTTTTACTGCGTGCCAAATGAGTGATGATAAAAGTAATATTTATTTGATTCTCAGCCCATTTTATTGAGCGAGCAAACAATATAATTAATGGATCTAGTAGCATAAATAACTTTGATTACATCTCAAATAAATATTATCGGTGAAATATTACACTTGTCCTCAAATATAAAAATGACACATAAAGCACAATTATTGACACTCAAACTTTACACCGCCTTAAACTATTTGCAAAACACAACACACATTTCTCTACATTTGAAACACAAATCTAACATGATCTCGCAATTTCACTAATGTTTGCCTTTTTTCAGGCTCATTTACAGTAAAGACTAGGATCCCGTCCAGCTCTTTATCAGGTCTTATCTCTTGACTTTTGTTGTTATTCTGCACTGCATAGATTCAAATGAACTTGACTAGACTTGCCTTTCAAAATGTTCCAATGAGTCAATTGACCATAGAAGGCTGTCAAGTGTACAGACACACAGTAAATATAACATGTAAGCACACACACACACACTTTGAATGGCAACAGGTTAGTGTGTGTCTGTCCTATTGTCTCCACACATTTGTCTTTTGCACTGATTATGTACAATATTTATAGGACGTTCTATTCAGATTTTCAGTTAAAAACAAAATCTTTGGTAATGCGTGGATTGGATGGAACAATTTGGAGTATTAGATATTTTGTATCAGTTTTCAATAATGGACTTATCTCTGTACCGCTTTCTTACAATATCTCTACAAAAACAGACAATACAAAATATTAGAAAAGTACAATTTGTTAAATATTTTTAAGACGTAGCGAAGCATAGCAGGTTCTATCAGATTTGACATACCACGACAAAATATATATATATTTTGTATGTATTGTGTTCAGTCACGCAAGCAAGGAATGTCCAAAAAATAGTTTGTGTCAAATGTAACCCATTGCCGTTTACATACATTGAGTTGAATGATTCATCACAACCAAGGGTTCAACTAAAATTCAACGAGGTCCAGTTAGAGAAAATCTCCCCATGCAAAGGTCCGGAACATCAAAATGTCTAAGTTGCTTTATGAATTAGTGTGATATACATTGAAGTAGCTGTAGCTTTATTAACAGCTGCATGTAATCAACAACTGACTGCCAATCAAATAAAGAAAGTACAATTCATAAACAACAATATGTATTGTCAATTAGCATTGAACTATACAGATAATAAAATACTGTGGATATGTGTAATGTTCCTCTCGGGCTGAAAATATGTGCATCTTAAAAGTGCTTCATTTTAGATAAATAAAATAAAGTGCAGCAGCAGCTTGAGTTTCCTTTTTCTTTGTTAACCGTTTCACATCATGACTTAACAGTTCCAGACGATTATAGAACAATATCAGTCTTTACACATCATGACAATTGAACAGTTTTAAAGTTTCTCTTTCTCTCCCTCTTATATTGCAGTCCCTCACTCACTTTGTTTTATTCAGTGCGAGAATTGAGCTCGAGCTTGTCCTGCCAGGAGTTTAGATCTGGGCTGAAATGGTGTAAGGGCCATTCTCATACACACATGCAGGTGCTCGTTGGTTAGCCTGGAACGATATTTAGTTTTAATTTTGATCCATATTGGGCTCTGAGACTGCTTATTTTTTGTGACCTTAGTTCTGACTTGAGAGGGAATGTTTGGTCAAACACTTAGTGTTTTGTCTCATAGTGGCGTTTTGGCACTTTTAATGAGCGCCACGGTCTCTGAACAAATGAGACACACTGGTTCATGAATGAGTCCGTCCACTCGGGGTTAAAAGCTCTGTTCTCACTGTCCACTTTCCTCTTCTTGGAGAGCGCCATGTGTAATTATTTGGACCCTGCTGTCTGCCACTAACACGCCTGTTCACTCTCCTCTCTGCTTCTCTCCCTGTATCGCTAATTATTCCCTTCACTCACTTTCCTCTCCGCTTCTCTCTGCCGCGCTCTCATCTCTTCTTCTGTGTTTCTCTCCCTGTATCGCTCACTCGTCTCTTTCGCCCCCTGTCGGCAGCGGTTAAAATAGAATCGCCCGTCAACATTGAAATACCCTATTAATGTATTGATTATAGGTCCGGGTCCGTATAGGTCGGCGTCTGGGTCCGGATCCGGACCGCCTGTTGCCGACCCCTGATCTACTGTGTCATAATCTTCCATCCTTGCACACTCTGTACATCCGGCTCACCTTACTGATATTCATTGTTTGACTTTCGAAATTTCAAAAATGTCCCAGATATCGCTGTGTATTTTAAGATTTTGCATCTGAGGAATGCATGCAAACTCGCTAACAAGCTTCCGTGACAATGACTAAATCCTGAGACACGAAAGGATTTGATGCTATATGCGTTTAGTCACGTGTTACTGTAATATCAACAAAGAGAAGACATCCAAATAATGATTGACATATTTATTTCTCCACTGATGCATAACTTAACATGCAAGCAGATCTAAATATACTAATATGCTCACAATGTTAACAGTAATATGCTAACATGCTCAGAATGCTAACATCATTATCCTAATGTTCTCACAATGCTGACATTAGTATACTAATATGCTAACAATCACAATGTATATAGTCGTATGCTAACATGCATTATGCATTATACAAATATGCTCACAATGTTAACAAGCTGAGTCAGATAAAACTTGTACGGTGTTCTTTAGTTCTGCCTGCCAGAATAACCAAATGAGTGCTTAATAAAATAAAAGTTTTGCTCGTATTTAGTCATAAAGAAAAGTATTTCCGATTAACCCAGCTTCCCCAAATGTCTTTCTTTTTGGTGTCTATATACGCCGGGATCCGGAGTCATGGATGATCCTGCGGTCCTGTGTCCTGCATCGCGAGCCCTGGATCTTGAATCGTGGCTGTGGTCCTGGATCATAGGTCCTGGATGGATATCCTCGAGGATTCATCTTCCTATTATACACACATGCATTTCCAAACATTTGGACTACCTATGTTGCAAATGTATTATCTTTTCAATTTACACACGGCATCTATTGCACGTCTGTCCGTCCTGGGAGAGGGATCCCTCCTCTGTTGCTCTCCCTGAGGTTTCTCCCATTTTTCCCTTTAAACTGTGGGTTTTCTTCGGAAGTGTTTCCTTGTACGATGTGAGGGTCTAAGGACAGAGGGTGTCGTATTGTCATACTGACATTCTGTACAAACTGTGAAGTCCACTGAGACAAATGTAATATTTGTGATATTGGGCTGTATAAATAAACATTGATTGATTGATTGATATTTGATGAACTCGAATGTTATCCTGATGATGGGGCGCACACATGAAGGTTAATGGATTATTATTACTATTAAAAGAAAACTCACATTAAAGCAAAAATACTTGGTGGCAAAGGGACATTTATATTTGTGCTATCTGTTGCTTAGCATATGAAAACACTCGCATTTTCTCATGTTTAACTTTTGGTAGGCCTATTTGGTTTTGTGCAGCATGTACATGGAAATAAATCAGCAACACAGTGAACCCCTGCAGACATGCTGAACAAGCATGTGAGTTACACCAAGTTTCACTTTCACTGTCTCTTATCACGGCTGAATGAAAGAGATCTTATTGTGTGTCATCTATTGCCACAAGGTCACTCTGCCACTCCAAAATGTGTCTGATGATAATTAACATTGATGTAACAACATAATGAAAGCACGGCACTGATTGATGTGCATCTTTTTTGAAAGATCAGGCTCCAGAACATAAACAGTTGCCTAGCAGCAAGAAGCCTCTTTGATAATTACACCACACTGGTTTTGCATGCCCCATAAGCGAGTTTCTCAGGAGGAACGTGAGTGAAGTGATTATTGACCTCTGATCTCTCTCTAGCAGACTGTCTCCAGTTCAGTGAAGTTCAATCGTGTAAGCATCTTTTGAATAACGTCTCTCCTGATTAGTTACATTTGGATTTCTGACTCTCTTCAGACCTGACATTCAGCATACAAGTGGACGCGATTGTAAAGCATGCTCTCTGCAATTTGTGAATATTTAAAAAGTAAGATCATTCCCTCTTCAAGGTTAAGTGAGATGTTTAAATTCCCTATTTCTTTCTCATCTGCATTATTGTATAACACTCTTTACATGTCGCTGAGCCAGAAAGGCATGCCCCTTAAACTGGTAAAACATTTAATTTACATACAATTTAGATAAATATAGAGATATTAGTATTTTTTTTATACAAACCGTATTTCCTCACATACTTTTATATTTTACTTATAATATCTCAGGGAGGTGTATACCTGCTTTTAAATGCCTTATTTTTTAAAGCTTTTATTAGGTGCTTTTTTTATGTGTTGAGAATAGTTATCTCCAATGTTTCGTATTTTTATTGTTGCTTGTGTTATCTGGAGTTGACTCAAACATTGGTGAAGCACCTTTAAAAAAAACATCAGATCAATAAAGCTAATTTTCGTTTTTTAATGATAACTTATGGCTATTAATCCTGATGAATTAGGAGGAAAAAGCACACTCTTCTGTTTGTATTCATTAAACAAGGACATCTTGTAACTTTAGAGTATATTTGATTTAATTGACATGTTACAGTTACATACAGTACAAGCACATCAGTATACATATAAATAACACTTTCCTGTCATGTTCTTAATTAACATCATGACAGGAAACTTAAAATTCAGTATAAGATAGTAAAATATAACAAAGTAAACATTATTAAATTAATTATGTAGGTGTTGCCGTGAATTAAACCGTAAATAGTGATAAAAGTGCTTAATAGTTTAATGATTGACTTATCTTTTCTATCATGAATAGTTCCAAACCGTACACAAACTTAAAGAATGATACTTAAAACAGTTGAATGTAAATATTTAACTTACATTTCCTGGAAAAGTGGTTTCAAAGCTAAAAATAAATAAAAATAAAAGTTCAATACATTTTCTTCACCTCCTTTAAAATGCTTCCCTGAAGCTACCCGAGTGATATTTCCAAACCTCACGTGACATTTCTTGGCATCCTCTTATTCTATTACGCACGTTTTAAATCTTTGGTATGGCAAACAGGTTGAACAATATTGCACAACCGACTGACAGAATCTGTTATGGTGAACATGTTACATGCACACTGAATAAATCTAAGGAATGTGACTCCCTAGCAGCGGTGAATGGTCTCTGGCAGACTGTGGCGCCGGGTCTTGTTGGCCAGAGCTGCCTTTCGGGTCATGGTGGAGCAGCGGGTCAGGATCTCCTCTGTTTTGGGTCGAGCAGGCACCTGGGGAACGACTGATGATCTCCTAGAAACATTGGAGCTTGCATATTCAGACCTCTCGTCGCTGGTATAGGAGCCACACCGGTCTAAGAGGCTGAGATCAATGTTGCTGTCGCTTTGCTGAGGCGATGCCAAAGGACTTCCTCTGTCTGCCAAGTTGGATTTGAAGACTGAGACGCTGGTATCGGTGCACGTGTTGCTCATGCTTCGTGCTCCTTCTGCATCCCTCTCCATCTGCGTCCGGGTCTCAGAGAGGACGTCCAGGGATCGGGCCTTGTGGAGATGCCCTCTGAACTGAATTGCAGAATCACTTCGCAGACCGGTGTTATCGCTGGATCGACGTGAAGCCGGAGCCTCCCTGCTGGAGGCCAGGTTCAGGGTGGAGCTGTGCAGCTTCCTCTGCAGGCTGTAGAGGCCAGCCCGAGTGTTGTTATAGGGCTGAAGGTTCATGGAGGGGATGTAACCTGCCTTGCCATTGAATCTGGAGAGGATTGCAAAAGAAAGACAATTGATTACAACTTTTGCAAACTATAATAACATCCCGATCAAGTTGAGAGAACTTATTTAGCATTTATTTATCAAATTGCACAAAACCCAATTTCTAACTCTTTGTATAGACAATAATAGGTTTGTGATGTGTTTGCTTGAAAAGACAATAAAAGAGCATTCATAAGTGCTTCAACCAGCCTTTTTTAAAATGTGCTCCGTGTTCCTATTCTCTATTGTTTGCAGTGCAGACAGATAAGATTCCATACCTTACGAGCCACCAGCCGTCGTGAGACTTCCTCAGCACCTCCACCGCGGAGCCGATGGGCACAGACACCTCGTCGTGCTGCTTCGTTGTGTAACTCCTCACGGCACAGTACAGGTCACCTAGTGGTCACAAAGAAGTTAACAAGATCAGAAATGTTGCAGTACAGTTAAAGACTAGAAGAGAATAGATGTATGTTAGCTTCCATTGGTCAAAGAGCACTCCCCAGTGGTGATTCTTTATTAAACCTTGGCATCATATTATAAAATATGTGCACCTGGCATGAATTTATTGGCACAGCAATGCCAGATTATGTCAAAGCAATGTCAGGCTTGGATGGAATTTTAAGAAGCACTGTAGATACAATGTGTTCATTGTATCTATAAAATGCAAGGCGCTTTACAAAAATGAAAGACATTCAGACAAAGGCATTTAAAAACAGTCGTTAAAAAGAAAAGATAATAAAAGAAACATTAAAGGAAAAAAATACATGAATAAAAAGTTACAGTGCAGTTTAAGATATGAATAGTTCACACAGAAGTTCCATTTTACTGATGCCTTTCTTTAAGGTTTCTCCGAACATGAGCTGTGTATGCTTGTATGGCACATACGTCCCGAGCAGCATACACAGAGAAAACCAGCCAGGACAAAGTCCCCAGACACTGATTCCCTGGGGTTACTAGCCCCAAATGTTCATTAACCAAAAACGAAACAACCGCTCAGTTTCAATTAAAAGCAGCGACAAAAAGATAAAAGCATGGACACGTTTTTCCAAATCCTGCTGTGACATTAGTCTTTTAATCCTAGATATGTTCTTTAGGTGATAGTAGACTGATTTGGTAACTGTTTTAATGTGACTGTAAGATACATAAATGTAAAATAGCTTAAGTTACCCGAATTGTTAAACTTTGTAATGCTCAAATAAGTGATTAAACTGTCAAATTGGATGAAGAAATCATTAAACAAGAATAATGTACACTTTTTGTTCTTAGAATATGATTTCATGAAGTTTATTTTAAGCATTTTAGTGTTCTAATTTTATTGCAATTTGCATTTAGTTGCATTATTGAGTACAACTATAACATGTACTGTATGTACATTTCAATGTTTTTCCATAAAGAATAAAAGAGTTATGTGTACTTGTCCAATGAGGTCATTTCTTGCTACATGCATTCCTGTACATTATAATTTGACTGAAAATAACACACACCTGCATTCTGGAATACAGAGTCTTCCTCATCCTCTCCGTCCAATAACTGCAGGTAGGGAGCAGGAAACCAAGCCAAACTCTTTGAGTCGTTCTCAACCAGCCACCAACCTGGAGAGGAAATACAACAACCTTTAAGCATCACAGAAATACAGAAAGAGTAGCTCAAGTTTGTTTTGCTGATTTCCAGTAGCCATCTACATGAAAGCTGAGGCACTGACCTGCAGGATCTTTGATCAGCACGTCCAGCTTCTCGCCCATAGCGACCTTAAACGGACGATTCTTGGTATCTTTTGTCTCGTAGGCGGCCACGCAGGAGTAAGTCTGGGTGACAAATGCCTCCTCCTCCTCCTCCTCCTCCTCCTCCTCCTCCTCCTCCTCCTCCTCCTCCTCCTCCTCCTCCTCCTCCTCCTCCTCCTCCTCCTCCTCCTCCTCCTCCTCCTCCTCCTCCTCCTCCTCCTCCTCCTCCTCCTCCTCCTCCTCCATCAGGCAGATCATCAGACATCAGGATCATGATGCTGTGTGAGAGAGAAATCAGTCATTTAATAATAAATAACTCATTTAAACTCTTGTAATTTGATCTGAAACTCTGGTGTGAGAACTGACCTGTTCTTGGTGAAGTCTGGCTGCAGGTCGTGATCTTTGGGCATGAAGAACTGAGTCACCTCTGGGGTCCGTGTCACACTTTGATCGCACTTCAGAACTTTCTCGCAGTAGCTCTCCAGGAACTTCATGCGTTGGATGGAGCGCTTGGATCCTTTCTTCTGGCTGCTCTTCCTGGCCTGTCCTGCAGAGAGGAGAGGAACATTTTTCAAGATTATTACCAGACTGTAAAGAGAGCAGCGTCTAGTCCAAACTGTAAATGTGTTCACCGATTCATGAAGGAAACAGTCATAGGGAAGGAAAACGCCCAAAGATTATTACCAGACAGGCTGAGAAATAAGGTGAATTACTATATTTATATAGCATTTTTCTAAGAAAGTACAAAATGTAATATCCATCTAATTGCTTCAATCTAAGTTAAAACTGAAAAACAGAAGACATTAGACAATACTTCAGCTAAATGTTTGCAGTGTTCTAGTTGGCTTTTCCTCTAATTATCGGCTGCAAATGCACCATTTCTGTGTAAGGAGACTATTAAAATAGACCTTTTCTAACATACATTTGAACTATTCTTACCTCTAAATTTGGGGATCACTCTGTTATTTTTCTTGAAAATGTTCATGATAGAGAATCTCTTCTTCAGCTGCCTCTGTTTGAAAGAAAAATAAACGTTTATTATTTCTACAAAATAAACACCAATCTAAGAACATGTGTGATTTATTTTGTTTTTGGGGACTTACATGGCATTTCCTGAACTCCTGGAAGGACCTGTAAATGATCACTTCAGTGTTGTCCGACCACAACACAGAAATCATGAACATCTGTGGAGAAATACAAATAATGAAGGATGAGGGATGACATTTTTTACACAAATACAGAAAATCACACAGTTAAATCTTCAGTTAAATCGCGCCTGTTGTGTTAACTCACCTTGAGTTTAGGAGTGTCCCTGTGCACGGCTCCAATAATGCGAGCACTGATTACAACGCGTTGATCCCCAGCCATTGTGTGAAGTGAAGACCCGCCCACAGGAGATGCGAGCGGAGGACCGAGGAGGGGAACCGAGGAGAGAGGAGGGGAAGCAGCAGACGTTTAAAGAAATGAGAACTCATCTCCTCTGAGCGGTCATATTAAAGAGACGTCCGTTCATTATTACGTGGCAACAGCTGCATCAGCTGTCGAGTGTTTTGTCATAGCGCTGTATCTCTGTTAGATCAGCTGAACATTGTTCCCCCACATATTTACTTTGAATTCATTGAGAGTGCGGTATAATGAGACAATAACAGGCTACAGATGCGGACACACACACACACAAATATATTTATATAAATATATACAATTTAAAGTATGAGAGCACTCTCATAATAACGTAACACAATCAGAGACTGGATATATCCCCCCCTCTCTCTGGTCGCTGAAATGGGGAATTGAAATTACGGGCCAAAAGTTGTATTTACAAGTAAGCCTATTAAAAGTAAGCAGAGGACACCAAACCAACTTAGACCCGTCTGTCCGCCGCATTTACGCACTGTACAACACACACACCTACACACTGTACCACACACACACACACCTACACACCTACACACTGTACCACACACACCTACAGCTCCTAAAGCATAAGCCGTTGTGTATTTTATTATGTGAAGCACTAAATGGTCTTAGAAAAATATCGACTCTTTGTTTGTAGATATCTACTAAACTAAAGCAAATAAAGAGAGTAGGCCTGTTATACTGAGTGATATTATATATTATACACCAGAGGTGGGACCAAGTCATTGGTTTGCAAGTCCGAGTCAAGTCTCAAGTCTTTGCGCTCAAGTCCGAGTCAAGTCTCAAGTCATTGTTTTGCAAGTCCGAGTCAAGTCTCAAGTCTTTGCGCTCAAGTCCGAGTCAAGTCTCAAGTCAGGTTGGGCAAGTTCAAGTCAAGTCCAAGTCCTAAACTTTGACAAAACGAGTCATAAACAAGTCATTATGTGTTTTTCACCAAATGTAATGACATCGATCAACAGAATAATACTTAATAATCAAATTGCTCTTTATTAGTCACATTAATAATTTAATAATCCATTTTCTCTCTGCTGGTAAAGTAACGTGTGTTTTTCTAATTTAAGAGGGATCAGTAAGGTAAGGCTACCGTGACGGTTTGATTCAGAAGGAGTTTAATGTATAAGATCCCTGATGTTGAGGTAACCAGAATGTTTATTTCCACTGTGTACAACATGTTGTAAGGGACCCACAATCTATCTTTATGTAAGGGATAATGTGCAGCGAGGCGGTCTCTATAAAGAACACCTGAATCTAGATCCCTCTGCAGGTGGTACTTTAAGTATATTTTGATGCTAATACTTTTGTACTTTTACTTGTAACATTTTGAATGCAGGACTTTTTATTGTACAGGGTTCCTGCAGGTTTCGGCAACTCAAATGTAAGACTTTTTAACACCTTTTTAAGACCACTTTGAATAGAATTTAAGACCTATTTCACGGCAATAAAGTATGAAGGAAAATGTATATAAAGAAGAAATACGTCCCATAATCACTTACAAAGTAAATGTATTCATGTTCAACATAAGAACAATGACTGAACACAACAGCGCAACAGTACAGAACTGTGTTAGCGTGTTAGACAAAAAGTGTGTGTATGTGTGTGCGTCTGTGTGTGTGTGTGTGTTAGGGCTGTGCAATTAATCATATTTTAATCGCAATTACGATTTTGGCCTGCCACAATTACGAAAACAACATAATCGTAAAAAACGATTATTTTGCTTTGCTAGGTTGTGACAGTGCACCACAACATATTTGATCTAATGAATTTTTTAGTAATGTATCATTTATTTAATAAATTTTTGTATTGGTTTTTCAGTTGAATTATACGTTCAGGGTATTCAACAGTTAAAAAGATACTGTTCAAATTATTATTTGTTTTAAAGTTCAATAAATTGATGTTTTCAAAGTCAATGAATAATCGTGATATTAATTATTGACCAACATAATCTTGATTATTGCCATAATCGAGCAGCCCTAGTGTGTGTGTGTGTGTGTGTGTGTGTGTGTGTGCGTGTGTGTGTGTCTCTGAGAGAGAGTGACAAGAGCTATATTCAGACTGAGCTCTGCTGCCTTGGCTACACTATTTCATCGTTGCTGTTGTATGATTGGTGTTTAGCTACGGTATTTAGCGTCTACAGCACCTCCGCTTTTAGGGTTGACGTAGACCCAAACTTCGCCCGGAGGTCCCCCGGTGTTGTTGCGGGAGCTGCTGCACTAGCTAACACTCCACTAGCTAACGCTGCACTAGCTAACGCTGCACTAGTTGCTGCTGCACTAGCTAACGCTGCACTAGCTGCTGCTGCACTAGCTAACGCTACATTAGCTGCTGCTGCACTAGCTAACGCTCCACTAGCTGCTGCTGCTGCACTAGCTAACGCTCCACTAGCTAACGCTGCACTAGCTAACGCTACATTAGCAAAACAAACACTAATTTATTTTGTAAAAGATGCAGCGGGCTTCAAACACGTTCCCTCCACTGGTTTCAACCAAGCACTAAATTAGATGTTTTCCAACCAAATACGGTTGAACTTACACTTCCCCATATTTATTTGTAAGTAGATTCGAAGATAGGCTACATGAGCTGAAGCTTGGTTGCTAGGTTACTAGCTGGGTGTTCTCCAATAAGGGGCCGGGGGAAACAAAGTTAGTGATTACTGGTTCCATGTTGATTTAATTCAATACAAATTGTTGGGGGGAACTGAAAGGCTATTACCGTACTGGTTACTTTGCAGCCCGGACATTTTCCCCAAAACACATTTAGACGCTATCGCAACATAGAAGTACCTTTCAAATCCGATCATTTTTAAGACCTTCTGAATCATATTTAAGACCTTTTTAAGGCCTTAAATTCTGATTATCAAATTTAAGACTTTTTAAGACTTGATTGTAACTTTTTTTTAATTGTCTGAACTTCTCCCACCTCTGACAATAAATCCTGAGTGTTTACCCTGCTCTGAAGGTTATTTTCATTTTACAAATCCTGCACTCAGCTTTGCTTTCTCCAATATCATTGAAAAGCAGCCAGATGCTGCTTCTTTTTTCGGTTTTCGCTCATTTCTTGACTTTTTCCGACGCGCTTGCATTTAAATCCGGCTCCCCGTCTCCCTGTCGCTCTGTACAGCTGGCCTGTACCACTACACATGCTGTGCCCCCCACCCTTCTTTCACATAATGGTATGATCCTAGTGTGTCCTCGCATATGATTGGCCGCATGGTGGCCCAGCTAAATAAAGACCCGCCCCTGCCTGCAAGGATTCTCAGCAAGAGTAGGAGCGGCTGAAGATTCTGCTTTCCCCGACGGGAGTCTGCTCTTCTAACGGCAGCTCCCGATCGGCGTGTTGGAGACCTCTGAATTAAAGTAGCAAGTCACCTCAAGTCAGAAGGCTCAAGTCCAAGTCAAGTCCCGAGTCATTGGTGTTCAAGTCCAAGTCGAGTCGCAAGTCTTTTGTGATGTTGTCAAGTCGAGTCTCAAGTCATAAAATGTGTGACTCGAGTCTGACTCGAGTCCAAGTCATGTGACTCGAGTCCACACCTCTGTTATACACACTGCTCTGCTTTCTGCACGGACCTTACAGCTGTTCTCTCTGGAAACATCACGACGCGATGAAAGCAGTTTCTAAAATAATATCATGGGGATGCATGCAGAGCTGTCATTGGCTGAGATAAGTCCGGCCGTGCGTCACGCCTCCACCGTTCCCGGAAATGCATCCGTGGAGGAGCGGTGGAGGAACCATCAGTGTATCCTCGGTTAGAGCTCCTCCAGAGAGCCTCCTCGACGCTCGATCCTCGGTCCTCGGTGTGCATTTAGAGAAATTAGATGTCCTTCAAAATGGCGCGCTGAAATTCATTTCCGGGTCACTACTGGAGGACCGAGGAGTCGAGGAGTCGAGGAGGGGAAATTTGAGTATTGAGAAGCCTCTATGGTAAACTTAACTATGTGCATTTAAAAAAAAAAAAAAGAGGAATATTTTTGGTGAATACTAAATGTACGGTGGCCCTGAAGTGCAAAACACCACAGCATTTCAGAAAACACCACAGCATTTCACATTGGACGGAAAGGGTATTCCTTTAGGGAGAACACTTCTTGTTTGTGATTGGACAGAGCCAGCCAGAGAAGCACTGCTGTGATTGGTTGTTTTTGCTGCCAGTCAAGAAATGACGCTTCGTGATTGGTCAACACCCGACAGCGAAATATGTCCCAACACATCAGCCGTTAGCACACACTCAGAGCTCACAGCTCCTCATATCTGTTCAGAAACTGGACACAAGTTAAACATGTACAAACCACAGACTGTCTATGTCATGGCAAATACAGTCACTGCTTTTATTTATGTCTGTATGACGTTGTTGTGAGTGTGGACGGAGCAGCAACAGGTTAGTTTAGCCTGATGGGTCCGATTCCATTCAGAAAACACGCATTTTAAAAGCTTTTCGCCTGCCGTCTTATCTGCAGACTTGTCAAAGCGTTAATTCATGGTTTTTACTAACCGTTATCAGTATGTAGTTACTTCGGCATCACTTTGAAACGTGTATTACAATTAAATCACGGTCAAATATGTTCATTTTGTTGTAGTTGGTATCTCCCATAGTATTTACATGGAGATACGCCCCGCCCCCTCTCCAGCGCCTCTTGTTTGAATGACAGGAGCAAACACAGCTGACAGCCGCGGTGAAACTCGAGCGATTAGAGCGATGCGAATATTGGGAGGTCTACCATTGTATTCACATGGAGATAAGCCCCTTAAAAACCATGAATTAATAAAGCATTAATTTTGTGTTTACTCCTGTCATTCAAACAAGACGCTGGAGAGGGGGCGGGCCGTATCTCCATGTAAATCCTATCGGAATCGGATCGATCAGGCTAAACTAACCTGTAGCTGCTCCGTCCACACTCACAACAACGTCATACAGACATAAATAAAGCAGCGACTGTATTCGAAATGACATAGACAGTCTGTGTTTTGTATATGTTTAACTTTTGTCCAGTTTCTGAACAGATATG